TCCAACCTCGCTCACGTACAATGTTGTTATAATCTCATAAGAATCTGGATATGATAAGGAACTCTTGAGAGAGGAAGTCTTGGTTAGACCTTCTGGCAGTGAATGTAAAGAGCAAGATATATATTGAAAAAAAGAAAAAGAAAAGGAAAGAAAAACAGCATAGTAGCTTATAGGAGCTTGGAGAGGTTAGGAGAGTTGAAAAGGAAGGAGGGATTTGACGAGCACGAGATGGTGAAGCAGTGTACGAGGCACGAGTAGGCAAGGTGCACCACCAACAGTTGAAACAAATAGATACAACTATGCTTTAGAAAGTTATGTACTTTGGACAACCCCCTTTAATTATATGCAGCAAGAACTGGTTACACCTCATGTGAGTAGGGAAATGAAGGTTGGCACCCATCAAATGCGGCACAATGACTGACGGGCAGCAGGAGGCGCGCGATTGGCGAGCAGTTCCAGCAAGAAGAAACACAAATGAAGAAGCACAAGTGAGGAGTTGCGCAGCAAGCAAGAAGACAATGAAAGTGAGGAGGAGGAGGAGCACTAAGCCCGCGGAGAGGAGCAGCGGAAGTAGTTGAAGCGGAGGTAGGTGCAGCAGAAACAGCAGCGGCGTCTTCAGGTGCAGCGGCGCCAGCATGGCATTTGCAGCGACTTCGGCAGATGCAGCGGCGACAGCCGCACGTCACCAACGGTGTCATCCGTCACGGCCGCCATCCCCGCTGCCTCCCCCCACATTAGCAGCCGCGCCAGGGCTAAGGGCGCTGCTGGTTCTTCAAGTGTGGTGGTGGCAAGCGAGGCGGGTGCCTCATCGATCGCTCGCGTATATCATTTCATTACGAGTATAACCGCGCCCTAAGCTCGCTAAAAAGAAAGACAAAACAACAAGTCCCTATACTCGAATTTGAGTATCAAATTACAGCAAACGCATAGAAATGTGTAAAATAGGAGGGGGTCCAAACATACAATACCCGAAAGATGGGCATTGTATCAATGATTGAAATTATAGATGTAACAGAATCACTATTGAAGGAATTCACTAAAGAGAACAGTGCAGATCACTGCACTTGCTCGCACCAATTGCACCTGCCATGTTACACTGTTGATACCTCCCATAGAAAAGACGCGGTAATGTGGACTGGACACTGTTGCCAGCCACACAATCAACGTTTTTGGAACGACTTGAAAGCCACGACGACTTGTTGAACATGAGCGACTTCAGATTTTTTAACGAGGCGTGTGTGCTGTGTTCCAACGAATCGAATGATGCTCCGGCGGATGATTCAGCAAGTTTCTGTTGTTGAGTCCCCAAGAAGGATCAAACCAGGGCTGCCCGGCGTCGAAGTTTTAAGGCTCCCAGCGTAAATGTAATTTGAGATACAGTGCATGTGTTTGGGAGATAATTGATATACCATAGCTTGAAGCTGTCTCTTCAATTGCTAAATCAGGATACACTCATGTTAGGAAAAATGAATCTCAAAGGGAATGACAAATTGCAAGTCAAACTGCATTGTACGGTCATACGAGCCTTGCTTGCGTCACCCGGCTTCAGTTTCCGTACCGAGCAACATGGCGGTAAGGGCGGATTTGCTTTCCCTAGCTGGCGCCAGCTCGGATTGAGATCCTCAGGAGTGCCGCCTTGTGGGCGCTGACATCCAATTTCCGCTGCAAGGAGACTGTCTGCCTTTTCTTGTCACATCACATCACTCATTCGCGAATCGCGCTTGTTGAGCTGGGAGAATGACAAGCGAATCGCGCTTGTTGAGCTGTTCGATACAACAGTGTTGAGCCCCTATGCTCATTAGTTTCTTGAGTGAACCGGTCTTGCAAATGTTACAAGATCGAAGCCGGTTACCTTCTTCGCAGCCAATTTGAGTCTTTGAAAATTATCCGGGGTCACTTCAGTTCGCCATTTTTTTATGAGAATGGACAGATTACGGGTTTAGTATATGCTACCGCGTAACAGCACCTGACACGCCTTCTCGTTTCGCACCCCCGTCTCCCTCTCAAACTCGTTCCTGGATGTCAAACCTTGTACCTCCTCTTCTCGTGAGATAGTCCAAGTTTCCCGACTTACCACCATTGAATATTCTGCTGTTTGGGCTCAGACAACCTGCTTACTACGTCGAACGACGATGGACCACACGGTTGAGGCTTACGGTGCAGATGGGATCGATATCAGCTCTGTCTCTGCCATTGCCAAGAGCCATGATCGCGTCAAATCTATGCTGCCGGCGGGGTTACTGTCAGCCGTGAACGGAGACGGCCACACGTGGCTCAAGTACGGCGAAAAGCACGTCGCGAACCACGTCATCAGGTGCTGAGAAAATTTGGATCTTGTTTTTCATAATTTTCTCGGTAAAAACCGTTCATTTAATGAAAACCAATGAGTTTTGTTTCTTCTTCTTCTTCCTCTTCGAGAAAATATATTCACTGTTATTTCTAATCGTGATATTTGTTCCTCTCGCGTGTTCTCTATTTTTTTATTATGTTCCCTTATCCTCATTAGCAGGTCATACTACAAGTGCGTCTGGTCGAAGAGCCCAGAAGCATGCCCTGCTAGAAAAACCGTCGACTTCGACCCTACGCGCCGAACCAAGCACCCTAATCTCTCAGCCACTGCCTTTAGCGGGTCTTGCCGCGACACCAGCGCAGCGCGGCACGGTCTGGTGGTAGCCGCCGCAAGTCTGCCAGCGGACGCCGCCAGCAGCGAGTCGGAATGTCACGAGCCGGTCGCGGTCGTCACGGCGTACCGCAATAGTCACAACCATCAGAAGCGCGGGCCTCCCCCGCGCGGACACAAGCGGCGGAGGCCCCGAACAGAGAAGTCGGCGGAGGAGAGCAGCAAGAGAGTAATGAAATCACCCAGGTCTCTCCAAGCTCCAAACTCGAGAGCGTGGAAGCTTGCGAATACCTTTACTGGTACCTGTGTGGTCAACTTTGAGCTTGGGGCGACGGAAGGGGGAGGTTATGCTACGCACGTTCTTCCACATGTCCCTTCACATTCCTCTCCGTCCCCTCCTCCGCCTGGAAAATCAGAGGAACAGGCGAGCGGGCGCCAGGAGCAAGGATACGAACCGCAGCTGCAGTGCCGTACTTCTTACGCTGCTTCGCTGGGAGATGTGGACGAGTTTCCGGAGTGGTTGATGGAGGCGGTTTGCGGTATCGACACTTCTGGCATCGATGACGCCTCTTGGCTTTCCAATACCCTTGCAAATCTGGACAGAAGCGCCTGCTGTCCAGAGGATTATTGGGATCTTCCAAAACATCAAGATGGAATCGACCACCCTCAAGCCCAGCAGGGGCCCTGGAACAAAGTAGACCACGCCGCATTTCCTCCCTGCGCCCCTCGCAAAGACGCGGGTGCGCGGCCACCGAGAGCCCCTGCGTTGGGCCATGGCTCCTCGTCGTCCAGCAGCAGCGCTGCATTGTCGGCACCACGAGACAGCAAGAGTGAAGGCGAGATTGTTAATGAAGCGCCGCAAATATCGTCTCATCTCAGCGCTGGATCGTCGACGCTGCGAGATGGCAAGATGGGAGATGTGGTGGGGCTGGGCGGCACGTGTGGGCGGGCAGGGGCTGTGGTGGAGCAGGAATGGTTTTCTTGCGAAAAAGCGATGGATGTGAATGGCTGGCAGTGTGGTCTGGATGGAGAGAGTAAAATGGAGAGGGTTGGAGCAGAAATGTTTCAATCGAGCACGCAGCAGCACCACCACCTGCAGCGTGTGTACCACCACCCTGTGTTTGATGTGCTTGGGGGAGGAAATAGCATGAGCGTTTGGGATTTCATCAGTTGACACGACTGACCGAACCCGCACAGCATGATTTTCATGTCATCATCCGGTAATAATATACCTAGGTGGCGCCAGCCTTGAATGGATGCTGCTGCTGGTGCTGGTGGCGACTAACTGGGATGCTACTCTAGACTTCCTTGCCCGCCAACTTACTCCATCAAAATGGGGAATCATGCACTATATGCGACATACTATGCACTGTATGCATTGTAATAATATAATACTAATACTACATTCATGCATACTAGTTTTCACAGCAAGCATCTCTTTCTGCCTTCGACATCGCAGTAGATTTAGCTTTGAACATCTTTGACCATCCTAGGTACTAAATCTGTATGGGGTGTAATGCCACTATAGCCTGTAAAATTCCGTGTAACCTGGCGAACTGCCTGCGATCGCAAGCGAAGTGTGACTCATTCTCCACGACCCTGGTTCTTCGTTTCCTTATAAAGTAGTCACTTGAAAGCTCCAGTTAATTCGTTCGAAGGACGCCGCGGGAAGCCCCTCAGAATAATCTGCACGAGCGGAAGGCATCTCGCCGGAACTGCCCGCGAATGAGCCCCAGCGCGTTGATCGGCGTCGTGATCGACGCGTAATACGCGCCCGGGTTCGTGTCCATCTTCTCTAGCACATCCGCTACTGTCACATTCGGATCGTTGAGCGACGGCGTGCGATGCGCGTTCATGATCCATCCGGTGGATATGATCTTCGGCCCGTCGTCGCGCCAGTTCTTGAGGCTCGGGATGCCGGGAATGCTGATGAGCGCGGGGCCCAAGGCGCCCTTGGGACCGAAGTTGATCGTGCGCGTGACCGGCATATAGATGCTCTCCATTCTTAATTCGAACTTCACGTTTACCGCGTCCGTAGTTCTGAGGTGGACAGCAGCGAGGGGAGGTAGGGAAGCCCGGGGAAAGGGGGGCGTGGGAGGAAGGGACGAGTTCCGGGAGTTTTCACTCGGTCGGAAAGTCATGGTTGGTGGGTGCGAGGGGCAGTGAACCAATGAATCTCCGCGTTTTCCGCGTGTACGGTGAAATTTCCACGGCAACGCAGGATTAGACTGAAGGATTAGATTTGTGCGACTCACACCGTAAAAATGCCGCATGATGATGGGTGGACTACTAAATGTGACTTCTCACCATAACACGCGAATCTGGAAGTATTCGACTCAGAAGCCAGAGCAAACTTGCGCTTGAACGCGAGGCCTCTCACCTAAAGACGCGGATTTCGAGGAATCCGTCAGCTTGCCGTCGGCCGAAGGTGAAGGCGGGAACTTTCTCCTTCTCGAGACTTGTCTGCAGCTCGCCTGACGGAGGAGCATCCGGGAAAAAAGCGATGCCACGTGGGGTTCAGTTAGGAAAACGGGACCAGCCGCTCACTGAGGACGTGCACTGAAACTGAATAGAATCAACGTTGAGAACGAAATATTAGGGTGGGATCATCTAGAAATGGCAGAGGTGTTTGCGAGGCGTCTTTTACTGACGCACGAAGCGACAAGTGCAATCGCATCGCCGGAGTTAGAATTCTAAAAGCACGTACTGATTTGTCTGCCGGGAGTCTTGTGCGCGCTGCCCGCGCAGCTCACTCTCCATGCCGCCACGTCCGTCGTTATCGAAGCGGCCAGTACGAGAACCAGTGCCACAATTAGTACCGTGCGGACTGCATTGTAGGAAAACAGGAATGGAAGACGAAGTTTGATTCATCTACTGCTCGTCGCAGGCGCTGGTGGAACGAACAGAAGAGCGGCAGTGTGCATTGTGTGAGAATCGATGACGAGTGGATGTGCCTCTTACCGTTGTGATGAGTCATTTGATGTATCAATTAATAATCGCGAAACTGAGCTGTCTCGTCTAAGCTATTTGAAGACTTTCGTCGACGATTTGTGTCTAGCGCGTTTGCAGTCGCGAGGTCGAGCAATCGTTATTGCGACGGGTAGAAAGGATGCGACAGGCCGTTGAACACACGTATTTATTTCGCGTCATGTAGCAGTTGGTCTGCGCCTGCTGTTTTTCGGTGTCCCTTCGCTGGGTATTACACATGGGCCAGTGTCGTCCTTGTCGGAAATTCTGTCGTCGACAAGTCAGTCTAGGGGCGACGTCAGGTTACACATTTCTCATGTGTTAACACATCTTGAAACGTGGTTCAGGACGGTCCAACACGGTGAAAAGCGGTTATCGAGGCTTACCGCTTTTCACCGTGTTGAAACAAATTTAACCGTAGTGGACGTACAAGAAGTTGTACAACCTGATGTCGCCAGGGCGAATATTATATGTCTCACGCGCGAATCCCAATGTGTCGGTTGGTGGCTTGTAATTTTGTAGCAGCCTTGTGCGATTCGGGGCGTGGAATGTGCTCATCTTTTCATCACATTTGGCACGTCACTAGAATACTGGCGATTGAAGCTGACGAGAATTCGTCCGCGATCTTCACGTCGCATGGACATGCGCCGGCAGCTGTTGCGAAACCAGATCTGATTTCGAGAATGGGATTACCGTGAGACGGCTGTCAGGGGAAATTTGAAACTTGGGGGATTGTAAGGAAAATCCCTTTTCCTTACTTCGCATCCCTGCTCAACGCGTACATCACTCTAGCACCTCAGTCAGCACCGTTACCACTCGCGATCATCGCATCGACAATCATCCCGCCATTTTTCGCACATCGCATCCCGACCTCACGGCTCAGCTGGTAACCCGCGCTCCGGGCCTACGCCTCGACACTTTCCCTACCTCAGTCCCAGGCTCGTCGCGCGACTACCACAGACCATTACCGTTACCACTGTAGTTTCGCTATATATTCTTCGCTCACGCCCTCGCTCATTGTATTCTTGCTTCGATAGTGCAATTCTCGTTCGTTCACTCAATTGCACTCGTAACACTTGGTTATCAGAGCCTACGATCTCAGCTCGGACCGCATCCACACCTTCGCTTCCCCACTATCTCAATTTTTTGGGGGGGGTAGACGTCTCTCAGCGATACAGCACCGCCGCTCGTAGTGCTCTCTCGCAAGCACGCACGGCCACGACCGAGGCTCTCGCTGAGCTTGCCCGACACGCCCGCCATGGCCGATTTCACGCTCGCCACATTAACGCAGGAGCAACTTGATCGTCTCGTGCGTCAACTGGAAGATTCAGCGCTCGAAATCGCGACGCTCACGGCGGAACGTGACTCCGCCCGTCAACAGTCCACGGTGAACGTTCCGACGACATCACACACACCAACAAATTGTATCGGCACATTCGGATGAACCGATCGTCATCTCGTCCAGCACACCAACACAACACGACAGCATGGGACAACGCTCAGGCACAACCAGTAATGGCGCCGCCCAGCCAATGCCTGGCATGGGAGGAAAAAGGATCGCACCAAGCCCGCGGGAGCCCCGAGAAGCCCGTCGGCACGTGGAATTTGCGGCGACAAGTGGCGAACAAGCCATCATGGCTTCGACCCAAGCCAACGCGGCGGTCCGACGGTTCAATCGTGGGTCTTCACGATGAACGTCTTCTTCGACGCAAATTACGTCGAGTCGGACGCCGCGAAGATCCGGTATGCAGTTTCACTGCTAAGGGGCCCCGCCATGGACTGGTGGCGAGTCATCGTGACGTCGCCACGCGCCTACGAGCCACCGTCGCACGAAGCGGAGCGGGTGGACCGTTATGTCGGAGGGCTAAAGCCGGATATCTCGCACGAAATAATGCTGCGCGGACTCTCTAATTTTAACGAGATTCTCGCGCTCGCCGAGAAGATCGACATTCTACGCCGACCGAGACCGGGGTCCTATTACGGACATCGCCCTCGGGGACCGACCGAGCACGCCACTGTACACGCCGTTGCAACAAATGCAGCTGCCGCACCGTTTAAAGGGCGCTGCTTTGCTTGCAACAGGCCGTGCCATCACAAGAGCGAATGCCCAGAGGAGCTGAGGCGCCGAGGAGCAGAGCAGGGGAGGGAGTCTCGGAGGCAGGGAAACGCCAGCAGTCAGTAGAAGTTGGGCCAACTACTGACGAGACTGCCTGCTCGCCCAACCACACCGACCCTCACCGAGTCACAGTACCGATTCACGCCATCGATCGGGCTCGGATGAATAAGGAGGGTACAGCGACGGATTGCCCGGTACTGATCTACGGGAAAATACATGGAGCAGCAGTGAAGATTTTTATTGACAGGGGAGCAAGTCACAGCTTAGTTAATACCGCAACCGCACGGAAATTACAATTAACACTTAACCGATGCTTACCTGAGATAGATGCACGCTTAGTCGACGGAACGCCACTAGCCATACGGGAAAAGGTGGAGCGAGTAAAAGTCCGCTGCGGAGGAAACTTCGGGTTTACACAGGAAATGCTCGCAACGACCCTGGATGGGCACGACATTTTACTGGGACGTGATTGGCTGCGACGGTATAACCCGCGAATTGACTGGACGACGGGTAGCTGCACAGTGCGAAATAGTGGTAACTGGGTCGTCCTACCTCGCTGGCAGCCAACCGAGTCTTCGACGGTCCATGTCAACGCCATCACGATGAAACGGGCTGTCGCTGCTGGAGCTGACGTGTACGCAGTGGATATAGCATTAGTGCAAGAAGAGGAGCTGCCGAGCGATTTTCAGAAACTATTGGCAGCTGTACCACCCGAACTTCAGGCACTACTGAAACGATTCCCGGGTATCTTTCCGGGTGACTTACCACAAGGGCTGCCACCTCAGCGGGCGCATGACCGTAGGATCGAGTTAGAACCGGGGGCACAGCCAACTGTACAGCGCCAGTTCAGACTGACACAGCCCGAGCTCGACGAACTAAGGAAGCAGTTAGATTATCTGTTAGAGAAGCAGTTTATCCAACCGAGCTCGTCACCGTTCGCCGCACCGATACTGTTCACACCGAAAAAAGACGGAGGGTTTCGCATGTGCATCGACTACCGAGCGCTTAACAGGGTAACAGTCAAATCACGGTACCCCATCCCCCGCGCCGACGAACTGATCGACCAGTTACGAACCGCACGGGTATTTTCGAAAATAGACTTACGAGGAGGTTACCATCAGATTCGGGTCGAACCATCGGACTGCGCCAAGACAGCATTTAGAACTAGGTACGGGTCATTCGAGTATACGGTGATGCCTTTCGGGCTGACCAACGCGCCCGCCACATTTCAAATGACCATGAACGAGGCGTTTAGGCCACTTTTAGATAAATGCGTGATAGTTTACCTTGACGACATTCTCGTTTACAGTCGGGACAAGCAGCAGCACTTATTCGATCTCGAAGCAGTTTTTAAAATTTTAGCGGAACATCGGTTAATCACCAAGGGCTCCAAGTGCGAGTTTTTTCGGGACAGGCTAGAATTTTTAGGACACGTTATTTCGGAGGCTGGAGTTGAAATCGACCCTAAGAAGCTGGATACTGTCAGCGCGTGGCGTCCCCCGACGAACATCACGGAACTGCAGAGTTTTTTAGGGTTCGTTAATTACCTCCGTCGGTTCGTCCCCGACATGGGACGCTTAACAGCCCCACTCACAGATTTACTGCGTAAGGGGGTCGTTTTTACGTGGGGGGAGAAAGAGCATGCTGCCTTCTCTACCCTGAAAATTGTTCTCTGTTCACCACGCGTCCTACGCATCGCTGACCCACATCGCCCCTTCGAGGTTGTTATAGACGCGAGCGACATCGCCATCGGAGCCGTACTGTTACAGGACTTCGGCAACGACCTCCAACCCATCGCCTACGAATCACGCAAACTGCATCCGCCTGAGCGAAATTACCCGATACACGACCGCGAAATGCTCGCGATCGTGCATGCATTCAAAGTGTGGCGCTGCTACTTGACCGGCGCAGACGTGACAGTATGGACAGACCATCGATCCCTACAGTACCTCCGTGCACAGCCCCACCTCAACCCACGACAGATTCGGTGGCTCGACTTCCTCGAGTCGAACTTCCATTATACGGTCACCTATAAAAAAGGAGCCTCGAATATCGCCGACGCACTGACCCGCCCCACTGCCCAGATCCATGCGATACTACTCGCCCAGACCAGTCCACTACTGACAGGACTATTTACCCACGGATATCAAACAGACCCATTCTTCACAGGAGGAAACTCGCAGCAATTCGCAGCAGCCAAGGGAGTCTATTACGTAAAAGCTGGAACCGACCGCATCTGGGTACCAGGGTACACACTACTACGGGAATTACTGTTACAGGAGGCACACGACGGAGTTACCTCGGGACATTTCGGAGTAGAGAAAACACGGCAGCAGCTGCAGCGGTACTATTACTGGCCTGAAATGTTGACTGACGTGCAACGACACGTGGGATCGTGTCCCACTTGCCAGCTCATAAAGTCAACGGCCGGCGGGACAATTACAACTAATCCCACCTCCTGAGCGTGCTTGGCAACAAGTGACGATGGACTTCGTCACGGGGTTACCAGCCGGGGCGAGTGGGAATGACGCGATCCTGGTCGTCGTCGATCGACTGACGAAAATGGCACACTTCGCAGCCTGCAAGAAAACAATCACAGCCGAGGAAACAGCCCGACTCTTCATCACCACCGTCGTTCGACTGCACGGGATACCAGCATCGATCATCAGCGACAGAGACACGAAGTTTACCAGCAATTTATGGCGGAACTTGTGGCAGCAGTTCGGCACGCGACTACAATTCAGTTCATCGTATCACCCCGAAACCGACGGACAGATAGAACGGACAAACCAGACTATGGAGCAGCTCATTAGGGCCACGTGCGACGACCCAAACACGTGGGAGCAGCAGCTGCCACTCATCGAATTCGCATACAACAACGCGCCATCTGCCACGACCCAACAGTCGCCGTTTTACCTGAATTACGGACAAGACCCCACTGTACACATGACCCCACTGTACACATGACCCCAAATCCCGACAACCCCGTTCCACGTGCGCAACAATTTGCCGAGATTTTGCAAGCAGCACGGACCAGGGCAGCAGAAGCAATCAAAAAATCGAACATCATCGCTAAACGCAACGCCGACCGCCACCGCAGACCTGTCACTTATCAGCCCGACGACCTTGTTTTACTCGACACTCAAAACCTCCGCCTGCCCATCACTCCAAAACTCCGCCCCCGATACTGTGGGCCATTTCGAATTAGCCACATGATCACACCTGTCACCGCGCACCTCCTCCTCCCTGCTGACTGGTACGTCAGCTCCTCGTTCCACGTCAGCTTGCTTCGCCCTTACGTACCATCCACCGGCCAACTCCCACGACACCGACCATCCAGCATGGCACGACCACCATCCGAACCAATCATCACCCCCGACAAAATCCTGAGTCACAGAGTTCGCGACCCCCGAGGAGCCCGAAAGATCGAGTTCCTGATCCGCTGGAAAGACCGTACACCTACAGAGGACAACTGGGTTCCCCTGGACAGAATTGAAAACCACCCTGTCCTCACCGAATATCTGCGCAGCCGAAACTTCAAAGATGTCCACACACTTTCGTAAGAAGGACCTCCTTAGGAGGGGGGGGGGTAGTGTAAGGAAAATCCCTTTTCCTTACTTCGCATCCCTGCTCAACGCGTACATCACTGTAGCACCTCAGTCAGCACCATTACCACTCGCGATCATCGCATCGACAATCATCCCGCCATTTTTCGCACATCGCATCCCGACCTCACGGCTCGGCTGGTAACCCGCGCTCCGGGCCTACGCCTCGACACTTTCCCAACCTCAGTCCCAGGCTCGTCGCGCGACTACCACAGACCATTACCGTTACCACTGTAGTTTCGCTATATATTCTTCGCTCACGCCCTCGCTCATTGTATTCTTGCTTCGATAGTGCAATTCTCGTTCGTTCACTCAATTGCACTCGTAACAGGGATCAATGGTTGGCAGTTGGTATGAATGGAGAGGGACTCACAATTTGATGTACAGTATATTGTTATAAGACTATTATCGCATCACGTTCTAGAGAACGAAAATGCACAACAAAGAAATCGCCCCTCAATCGTCAAGTCTGTTCTCGCCCACCCTGGTTCTCGCCATAGTACTAGCATTCACGCCATGCATCGACTACACGCCACGCAGCATTCTACAGGAACATCAGACTCGTTGTTGCTGTCAAGGCTAATGCTCGCGATTCAGAGCCATACGAGGTGGAGAGCACGATGCAGCTGGGCAAAATCCGCCCTCCATGTGCGAGCTTCAGAATCCACAGGAAATTCAACACAGTGACCTAAACTTCCGCCAGAGAGTATTTGGTTCTTATGTCCTTGAGTAACATGGAAGTCGCAATTTTCGGCGCGAGTGCGTGTGCTGCGGTTTTTGCGCAGTACGCGTTCATAAGATGCGGCCTGCACGGCTCCTTTACTAGCGCGTCCTGGCCAGAGGCGTCCCTCCCGGACGTTCAAAATATCACACGCGTTTCGAATCTCGTACTCTCCGTGTACGAGCGGGATGTAACGGAGCCTCGTTTCAGCGATGCCGTACGGCCGGCGCGCGTAGTGAAATCCGTTTCGTACGATGACACGAGAGGGCAGTGCCCGCCGTACACCGTATTCCTCGATCCTGACGCCAAGGATGTATGCGTCGCGATTCGCGGTCTGCATCTCACCCACGAGGCGGATTACGCCGTCTTGCTTAACAACCGAACGGGGCAGCAGGTGAGTCCGACTCCGCCGTGACAAAAGTCCGTCCCAAGTACGGAAGTGCTTGGCGAAGCCATAGGAAACGCATTTCTGGTCTCCGCAGGCTCTTTTGTTGAACTCCAAGATTTTCAGCGTGGCTAGGGTTTTTGCAGAGGCTTGAAGATGGTTATGCCCACAAGGGCCTTCTGCAAGCATCGCAGTGGTTGCTTGAAAGAGAGTCTGACAACCTTAAGGAGCTGCTACAAGCGAATCCGGGGTTTACCCTGACACTCAGCGGTCACTCGCTTGGCAGCGGAATAGCCTCCCTGCTCGCTATTCTCCTTGCGAGCTCGCCAGATCGAATTGGCATTTTGCTGCCAGCGAAGCTCCGCTGCTTGGCCTTCGCACCACCAAGGGTTGTGTCTCTGAACCTGGCTGTCAAGTATTCAAATGTCATCACCTCCGTGGTCCTTCAGGTAAGATACGATGTGAGCTCAGCTGTCCTTTCCTCCTCCTCCCTCGTGCAAAGTACGTTGTGAGGAAAGCATTGTAACCCGTTCCTTGCAGGATGATTTTCTTCCCCGGACAGCTTTGCCTCTTCAGCTTATTTTCGGGGCTGCATTGTGGTGTGTGTTCTGTATTTTTTGTTTTCATTTCTCATGCCAGGACAGGCACTAGCTGGTTTCAGAAACTTACGTAATTCTGCTCTGTGCAGCTTACCATGTCTACTAGCGTTCTCATGTATGAAGGACACACTTGTCCCGTCCTGGGTGCTTCATCGGAATCCTGCACGCTTGTACATACCAGGGAGAGTCCTTCATATAGTTTACACCAAGTTTTGCAGGTTGGTTGCTGTAGTCAAGCTGTACTGCATTTACGGGTGATTGGAAAGCTGCACCAATACCTGCAGTTGTGCTTCCCTCCCCCCAGTTGTCAAGGAGGCAGTGCCCAGGGAAGAGAGGTTTGAGCATCTTGTGTGCTCCATGAATGCTCTTCAGGACCACTCTCTGGTCCGTCTTCGAGCCAAGGCCCAAGGTGCAACTGCGGTAAGCTATGAATCTATGATGTATCGTGCCTGCAAGTCGATTTCTTCGTTGTTGAGAATGTTGATGAGAATTTACTCTGCAGAAAATATTGGAGTCGAATTGTGCCACCTTGGCACCTGCTGAGCAGATAATGGAGTGACACTTCAGTCTGGTCGGTCTGGTGTTTTGTGACCATCAACAGCTGAGATTGATGGGAAGCTGTTTGATGGATATTCATAAGATGTTTCAGAGTTATGTAGCACAATATATCTTCAAGACACGGAAAAATATATTGATTGCGCAGGTACAGTTGTTTTCCAGGCGATAAATTCGTGGAGTCATGGTACAATGTGGCATGTCTCGCTGCTCTTGACCAATCTGTGCGAGGCGGAACCGCTACTTCAAATCAGCTCAAACCTGCGCCGCGTTAAGCCTACCCCGACCTAACCTCTTGGCTCGATGCCTCCAGACACTGTGCCACGTTTCATTTGCCTCACAACCACGAGGCTTGCTTCACCTCCAGCTTTTCCATACCTTGATCAAGCCGCGGTTTGTCAGTTCCGCTTCGTTACCTGACAGCACGAGAGGCTCGATGAAGACGGGTTACGTCGATGTGGATTACAAGCCCGACTCTCCGGTTCTGAGATCCGTTGGCATGCCATTCGTGTCCTTTCTTCGAACGAGGTACATCCAATAACAACAGCTACTATCACACAAAGTTGGGAGTGAGAGACGGTTGTTTTCTCCTGCACAAAACACCACCACAGCAGTCGAATCGGGTAGAATCACTACAAAGGAAAGTACATTCCTGGTGCTGCTTGTGGCTGACACGTGGTTTTTTAGCAGCGGAGTTTCATCCTTAGTGGCAATCCGCTGTTTGTATGAAATGCTTGCAGCTTGATATTCGTTAACGCAGTTGGAGTAGGTAATTTAGGGGATACAGAAACCAGCAGTCTTGGAACGACAGATTCCGATTGAGCCAGCAAAACGAGTTGGCTTCTCAAATTAGGGTGTTGATTTTCAGGGTATCAGATATTTAAGGTCAATTCCGCAAGAGGTTTCCGCTTAGTTTCCGCTTTTTCAACCTTTCCGCGGTACTGTCCTGGAGCTGACATCCAGATCGAGATGATGAAATCGTACGGAGTCCCGTCAAAAGGGAGCGGACGAGCGGGTAGGCTTCGCTTGCTAGCTCTGATCGTGATATGCCTGGGGGTGGTGACGTGGCTGCACTATGACGTACCGGAGAAAGCGGAAACCAAGAGAGCCGATCCCGACACGATAGCTCGCGTGTGCGAAGGCCGGTACATCTACATGTATAACCTGCCTGCGAGGTTCAACAAGGTGTGTGATGATCCGTGAGCTGCGTGGCTGGATCGTTCCCATTCTCCATTTTCTCGTTTCAAGTGGAGAACAGCCATGATTACTGGGATGTGAGGAGAACAAAGAATGTAACCGTACACAAAGTGTGTCGTCATAACTTCGTAATCCATCTGTGAATAGGAATCACTTGATTATCGAGCTGCATCCACCAGCTTCTCCTCCCCTGCAGCCCCAGCGTCCTTATGAATCCGATTTCGTTGCTTGCCACATTACTGTGGACAAGCACGATTCTACATCTCCAGTCGTTCGATAGCCTAGCTTCGAAACAATAACTGGTATCAGCCGCTCGATCACGGCGACCTCTGTCCCTTGCTACCCCCTTGCCGTTCGATCACGGCGTGCTCCCTCCTTTGCCATTCGATCACGCCGTGCTCCCTCCGTTTCCGTTCGATCACGGCGTGCTCCCTCCTTTGCCGCTTCCCTCGCGTGCAGGGCGTGTTGGCCAAGTGCCGTGGCCGCGACGACACGGGTGAGCGCTGCGCGGAGCTCAGCTCCATGGGCATGGGCGTGCCGTACCACTCCAAGGTGCGTCGAGTCACTTCTGAGTCAACTTACAAGGTGCGTCGAAGCCGTTAGTGGATCCAAGGGTTCATAGTCATTGCCTGCAAAATGATGCTCGCAGCTCACCTCCATGGGCATGGGCGTGTCGTACCACTCCAAGGTGCGTCGATATCTGCGCTCCACTTCCCTTTCCCAAGGATTCCTTTTCCGTGCGTCGAAGTATTCCTATCCTGTGCGTCAATATCTACGCTCCACTCCCCTTCCCCCATTCGCCCCACTTCCCTTCCCAGGTATTCCTTTCCTGTGCCCTCCATTCCCCATTGCCCATTGCCCCTCCCCCATTTCCCTTTTCCTCATCCCCCATGTTCGCCATCACCCATCCCCCCATCCCCCCCATCCTCCCGCGCGCAGAAGCCCGAGTACGCGGGGGTGGCGCACTGGTGGCGCACGTCGCTGTACAATGCGGAGCTGCTGCTGCACCACCGCCTGCGCAACCACCTCTGCCTCACGCCGCACCCCTCCCAGGCGCACCTCTTCTACGTCCCCTTCTACCCCGGTTCGTGCCGCTAATTGCCTCTTTCACGCCCCCCCCACTTCGCTCCCACCCACTTGACGTGGGTGCCACTCTATCACCTCTTCTACGCCCCATTCTACCCCGGTGCGTGGCGTGCCACGTTTGAGTCGTCTCAGTTGGGACCTCACATTCGTGTACGCCCGGAGAGGCGTGGCCCCCCGTTGGACGACCTGCGCGTTTCCCCTCCGTTCGACTTCCCACAGCACTCCTCTCTCGCTCTCTCTGTCTCTCTCTGGACGCCTGCACCGAGAGCACGTGCCGGAGTTCTCTAACACCACTATGCCATGTCGCTCCCCTTCCTCACGTTTCTCGCTTTCCCTCCCTCTATTCCTCGTTGTGTGCATGTGTGTGTCTCCCTCTCTCTCTGTTGATCTCGCTGCAGGGCTGCAGCTGGAGCACGTGCTGGGCTTCTCCAACGCCACCATAGACGAGTACTATGACGACTTGGCACAGTGGATTCGCCGCCAACCCGCCTTCAAGCGGTGCGTGCTTCCAGCGAGATCATTCGTGCACACAGCACAGCACACCCATAGGCGTGCACCGCCCTGCCTGTCCCGTTTTCCCTTTTTTATTCCTCTTTTTTCTGTTTCTATTTCCCGTTTCTCATCCCATCTCGTGCTCATCAAAAACTTCTTGCGCGCCTACCATCTTCTCCCCCCCACCCACCCCCAGCTATGGCGCCAAGGTCCATTTCTTTGCCCTGGGCGCGCCACGTGGCTCTTCTCTGCTTACTGCCACCGGAATCCGGCTCCCCACTCACCCAATACCAATGCTGTGCATCTACAACCCCCACTCCCCCACTTCCCTGTATCTCCTTCCCCCCCTCTCCCCAGGTACGGCGCCAAGGACCACTTCTTCGGGCTGGGGCGCACCACGTGGCTCTTCCGCCGCTCGCTGTCCCCCGTGCTGGACGGCGCTAACCTCGAGCAGATGCCCGAGTTCATGCCCGTGAGTCGTGCACTGCATACTTGCTACAAGCCTTTGAGCTGTGCTCACACGCGTGTCATCATGTCATCATGGCAGTGTATTATGTTTGCTTGCTCAAGGTGAATGCATCGCTCCCTCTTCCCCGTGCTGGATGGCGCTAACCCCGAGGTCATGCCCGAGGTCATGCCCGGGAGTCGTGCACTGCATACCTATGAGAGCTACAGACCTGAGAGTGACGCATTTCTCACAAGGCCAATGCATCGCTCTCTACCCCCTGTGCTGGAAGGCGCTAGGCAGGAGCGGATGCCCGAGGTCATGCCAGTGCAGCTCAGAGCATCCAAGAAGTCCCGCTCCGAGACCTGGGCTTAAAAACGGCTCCCTTTCATTCCGATCTTTTCCTTCTCTCCTTCCCTGTGAGATGATAAAGCTGGAGGTGGGAATTGGGTTTTATGGGCAACTTCCCTCCTTTCCTTATCCCGTTTCCCTCCAACCCGCCCTTCCCCCCCTCGCCTCCCGTTCCCCCAGATGATGAAGCTGGAGGTGGAGCGCTACGCGTGGGACGACCAGGACTCGTTCGGGCTGCCCTTCCCCACGGACTTCCACCCCATCTCCACCAAGCAGCTGCGCCGCTGGCAGGTGAGAGAAGCGGCAGGGAAGAGAAGGGGGAGGGAAGGGAACCGGTGATTGTGACATGGTGTGTCGTGTGGTGTGGCGGCTGCCCTTCCCCACAGAACTCCACCCCATCTCCACCAAGCAGCTGCGCCGCTGGCAGGTGAAAGGCAGTGAGGGCAGAGGGGTTGCTCTTTAAACTCAATAACTGAGCCGCTAACCCTAAACCCCAACCGCAAACCCCCGAACCACAAACCCTTCCCCACAGACTTCCACCCCATTTCCTCCAAGCAGCTGCGTCGCTAGCAGGTGAGAGGCTGTGAGAGTCGAAGGGACGAGAGGCAGTGAGAGCAGCGGCGGTGAAGCGCCCGTAGCAGTTTGTTTACATGCATCATCCCGCCCGTAGCAGTTTGTTTACATGCATCATCCCGCCCGTAGCAGTTTGTTTACATGCATCATCCCGTCCGTAGCAGTTTGTTTACATGCCTCATCCCGCCCGTAGCAGTTTGTTTACATGCCTCATCCCGCCCGTAGCAGTTTGTTTACATGCATCATCCCGCCCGTAGCAGTTTGTTTACATGAATCATCCCGCCCATAGCAGTTTGTTTACATGCATCATCCCGCCCGTAGCAGTTTGTTTACATGCATCATCCCACCCGACAGCAAGGAGCCGGAGGCGGCCACCAAGTCACCGTGCTGTCCGTCCCTCTCATACCCCCTTCCCCCTTCTCCTTCATCACCCGCACACGCCCCTCACCCCGTGCAGGCCACAGGGCCCAGTGCCAAGCGCCCGTATCAGTTTGCGAGCATCATCCCACCGGACAGCAAGGAACCTGAGGCGACCACCAAAACACTGTGTCGCCCTTCCCTCTCATACCCCCTCCCCCCTCCTTCTCCATCACCCACACATGCCCCGCGCCCCTTGCAGGCCACGGTGCGCAGTGCGAAACGCCCCTACCAGTTCGCATGCATCATCCCCCCTGACAGCAAGGAGCCCGAGGCGGCCACCAAGACGCGGGCAGCGGTGGTGCAGCAGTGCCAGGCGCCGTCCACCTCGTGTGCGCTGCTCAACTGCAGCCGCGGCGACTGCAGCCACGAGCAGGTCATGGGTGCGTGTGGGGGGGAGGGAGGGATGGGAGGTTGGGAGTGAATGAGTGAGTGGGTGGGTGAGAGGAGGGGGAGTGGCAAGCCTGACACCACGGCAGGCGGTGGTGCAGCAGTGCCAGCTGCATCCACCTTGTGCGCCCTGCTCAACTGCAGCCGCGAGCAGGTCATGGGTGAGTGGGAGGTGGGTTGCGAAGGTACCTGTACCCTTCAGCGCTGTACGCAGTGCAGAACGGCAGGTGCTACAAGCTTTAGTGCCGCTAGCCACCGCTCTACATGTTTGCTTGCTCTTTCTGCTTGCCCCTTCCCACGCCTCTCCCCAGCGCTGTACCTATCAGCACAGTACGCGGTGCAGGACGGCAGCAACTACAAGCTGCGACACTTCTAACCACTATGCCTGCTTCCTCTAACCCTCCACTCTCCACCCACCCGCCCCTCCCCAGACCTGTACCTGTCAGCACAGTACGCGGTGCAGGACGGCAGCAACTTCGGGCTGCGCTACCTCATGGACTCGCTGGTGGCGGGGGCCGTGCCCGTCATGCTCTGGAACCGCACCTACGCACTCTACCAGCACCACTTCCCCTGTACGTGCCTCCTCTCTTCCTCTACTCCCAGCACTGCACCTCCCCTCTACGCATTTCTGCCACCCGCATGTCCCATCTCACATGTTCACCTGTCCCTTTGCATATAATGACTCTACCTCGCACGTAACGACAGGATCCATCGCACATGATACTATGTCCCATGTCATCATCACATGTCCCATCTCATCTGATATGGTCATATTTCCCATCGTGCCCCGTGCCCCCATCATCCCACCCAGCCCATTCCAACTCCACTTGCACATGCTGCTTCCCCATGCCCCTGCCATGGCCCCTCATCTGCTCTCATGCCCCCACCAGCCAACCCCGACTCCTTCCTTCCAATTTGCTCCTCTTGCGCCCATGACCCACTCCATGCTCCCCCATGCACCCACCAGCCAACCCGGACTCCTTCTCGGTCTATCTGCCGTACATTGGCGTGCCCGAGTGCACTGCCAACCCTGTCTTGTCCCTTTCAACATGGCCCTTGTTATGGCCCCACGCCCCTTCATCCCACCCCACCCCCGCCCACCAGCCAACCCCGACTCCTTCTCGGTGTACCTGCCATACATCGACGTGCCTGAGTGGACCACCGTGGAGCATCGCCTCTCCAAGGTCGCCCCCGCCCGCTACCGTGCGCTGCAGCTGCAGGTGAGACTGAGTCTGCTGCCATGCGCTGCAGCTGCAGGTGAGACTGAGTCTGCTGCCATGCGCTGCAGCTGGAAGTGATGGCAATCGTGCCCTTGACCATGTTCACTTGATGAGCTCAGTCAGTGCTACACAGCAGTTGCCTTTCTCTCTCACCACCATCCCCTCCTCCTTAGGTGATCCACGTGACCCTTCCCTCAAAATGCAGTCCCCTTTCTATCCATCCTTCCCCCATCCTAACCCCCACACGCCCAGGTGATCCACATGATACCATCGCTCATCTACGTGGACCCCTCGCATGTCCTTTCCAACGTGCGCGATGCCGTCGACATTGCCATTGACCACATGGTCGACCTCTGGCGCGACCGCAAGGCTCGGCATGAGTATCCCATACCATCCACAGCCTCCGAGCCTGGTGGCGCAGGCACGGAGACTAAAGAGGACGGGCGTGGCAAACGATTGGCGGATGCGACGCTGAGCGAATTGAGTGGGGGTGGTGAGGTTGCTCATGAAGAGGCGAAGGAAAGCAGCGATGCCAACAATGAAGGATGACGCAAGGGGTTTCACTTCTAGGAGTGAATTTACCTCAAGTAGAGCACAAGTGTTGATATACTAGTCTGTATTTTGCTGATAGTTGCTTTTAGAGCCCTTAAGGGCCCAATTAGGATGCGTTTGACTTGGGTAGAGCTTGTTGCAATTGATGAATTATTAGTGAATGTGTTTGAAGGAAACATAAGACAACAGCGTATATGAAGTATCAGACACAGTAAATGACCAGCACATTGCGGCTCGTAGCACGCTTCTCACGAGGACAACAAATCTTGTGGCTGTGAACGCCTCAATCCTCTCTGGCGGGGAATTTCCCAAAACAATTCGAACCTGGTGGTGACCTGGAAACTTTCAGGGAATGCCGACAACTCTCTGACGTGGGTGTTTCCCTTCCTGACCATTTCTGCTTCGCGCAAAAAGCCTCCCACCCACCCACCATCAGGGCTTATTTTGTGCCGAGCTCAATCAGCACCAGCAAGAGTCGCGTGCTGCTCGCTGGCGGCAGCTCAAATGAATTCCGCCGTGCTGCCATCGTCGCAATCCGTCGCACAGTCGCCCATGCACCGCCTCGGTAGCATCCTGCGGACGGTCCGGTCCGTTCGACCAACCACAGTGGCCCATAGCGCGCCGTTCTTGCGAGACGGTCCCGTTTTCGTCAACGCTACACGCCGACTGCCGGTGTCGTTTTCGGGACGCGAGATTTCGACAGTGGTCCCCGTTGCAGATGCCTTTGCAGTATCTAACGCTGTAGGTGGCAGCAACGACGCCTACCTGTCCTCGCGACGCGTACTACGGAGTCTTAGCGGTTTAATTCCGTCACCGCCTGCGGCTGGATACGCGCTAAGAGCAGGTCGAGGTGAGCTCGTTAGGGCGTTTGCGTCGAAAAGCGATGCCGTGACGGGTGGAAGGGAGAACGACGGCAAAGGGGAAGTTAGTTCCGGCCTAGAGAGCAGCGGAGGCGGGGCCGATGCGGGGAAGGAAGTGCGCGGCGAGGGGGCCGGTGGCGGAAGCGGCGGCGCTGGAGGCGCGAGTGACGTTGATTTCATGGCGGCGGTGATTATCGACGAGGGACTGGCGGCGGAGGTGGCGGCGCGCGGGCAGACGGACACGTGGAAGGTGAGGAGGAATAACCGACCTTCGTATGAGGACCATTGCACGAGGATGCGTATTGGAGGATTCGTGTGGGAGGCGAGTACATACTGGGGAACCAACCGGCAGTCCTAAGTGGATAAGGCCCTTACCTGTTGCTTTACGGAGGAGCATCATGGGCAGAAACCTGCTCCCTCTGCTACCTTACTCTGCTATCCTGTCCCTCGTGTCAGCACGCCCCTGCTTTCCCAATTCGTCCGTGCACCTTGAATTCCTCGCCTTACACTCTACGTTTCCCCATCCACCCAACAACCCCCGGATTCTCTTCCCCCCTCCCCTCCCTCCCCCCAACCCTTCCCCGCCCCCTCTTTTTGCCCCCTCCGCCAGGCCTTGGCGGAGGAGCTGCGCTTGGATGCGGCGTCCGCGCTGGCGCTGGCCATGGAGGAGTTTGAGGAGGTGCAGAGCGGTTCCGGGGTGGCGGCTGCGGAGATGTCCGTGCTGTTGTGCACGGACGCTTATATCAGAGAGCTCAATAACGAGTGGCGGGGTGTAGATGCGCCCACGGACGTGCTGTCCTTCCCCCAAGACCAGCCTGCGGGGCTGTCCCCTCTGGTAGGCAGGGACAACCAACAGTAACCTTCCCACTCAGTCGAGATTGGTTTGCTTCTCTTCGTCTTAACCATGCTTCCGGTCCCTCCAGCAACATGGATGACTTGGAGTTCACTCAGTAGCCAGTTCAGCGCAGCAGCTTCGTTGCTCCTGCGTTTGCTTCTCACGTCCACCTTACCCTTGCGCTCCTCTGCATATCACCTGTTCCCATGTGTTGCTTTCGCCATGTGTGTTATGAGAATTCACAGGGCACCATTTAATGGTTCTTTTCGTCCTCCCTGTGTCGACCCGTTGCACTGACGCCTGTGCTGCAGTTGCTTCTGGGCGATGTGATTATATCGGTGGAGACGGCGCAGCGGCAAGCCAATGAGAGAGGCCATTCACTCTTGGACGAGCTTCGCATTCTCATGGTAACGTGCTCGCATTCCTATGTTACCAGCATGCTGGTAGTAGCATGCTGGTAGTAGCATGCTGGTAGTAGCATGCTGGTTGTAGCATGCTGGTTGTAGCATGCTGGTGGTAGCATGCTGGTGGTAGCATGCTGGTTGTAGCATGCTGGTGGTAGCATGCTGCACGTGCTGGGATGGGATCGGGTATGATGGCTGATGCGCCCTCTGCCTTCCCCTCCCGCCCCAGGCCTCTCTCTCTCCTCTCGGCACCGCTCCTCAGCAGCCTGCATCTGCTGGTTATGATAACTTTGACTTTTGAGCTGACTTGGACGGTTTCATATTCCTTACCCGCCCCCGCCCCCCCCCATCTCTGCATTCCTTCCTCCCAAACACCCCTCCTCGCCCCCCACTTCTCCCCTTCCCCGTCCGCCTTCCCCACTCGCTCATTCCTCCCCAACCCCTCCCTCTCTCCTCACGTGCACAGCATGCTGCATCTGCTCGGGTATGACCAATGCTTCCTCTAACTCTTCCCTTCCCCTTCCTCACCCACCTCCCCCTCCCCCTCCCCCTCCCCCTCCCCCTCCCCCTCTCGCTTCCCCTCCTCCCCCCATTTCCTCCCGCCTCCCCCAACAGGTGCACGGCATGCTGCATCTGCTCGGATATGACCACGAGCCCCCCAAGGGAATTTTGCAGGGCGCTGCTGACTCAGCGATGTCAGAAGCTGAGCTGGTGGCGGCGGTGCGTGAGTCAGCGGAGCAGATGGCAACAGAAGAGCTGCGGATTTTGGAGGCATTTGCATGGCGGGGGGTGGGGTTGGTGGCTGCTGCGCTTGGGGAAGATGGGGGAGGGGCGCAGGGAGGGGCGGAGGGAAGAGGAGAGGGAGGAGGGGAGGTTGGAGGGGAGGAGGGTGAGAAAGGGGGTGTGAAGGCAAGGATGACAAGGATTGGCATGGTGCAAGGTGTGTGCTGGTGGGGGGACAGTTGCGAGGTTTGGAAGGGGCTGAGATGGGTGCAATGGGTGGCGAGGGATGGAAAGGGGTTGAGAGGAATGGTGAGGCGAGGAGAGGAATGGAGAGGAATGGAGAGGAATGGATACAAGTGGAAGAAAGGAAGGCAAGGGAGTTGAGGTGTGACAGTTGTTGCTAGATGCCTTGAAATTGCCAATTTGTTTCTTCTGTTGTCCTCTGTGTGCTTGGTTATGGCAGGGTGGACAAGATTTGTGACAGTAACGGGGGAGGGGGAAGAGGGAGGGGGTGGTGAGGAAGGTGGCGCGGGGAAGCACAAGGGGAAACACAAGGGCAAGCATGGGAAGGGGAAGGAGGAGAAGGGGAAGGAGAAGGGGAAGAAGGGTGGGAAAGTGCTTGATGTGGGGGCGGAGGAGAGAGAGCATAAGAAGGGCAAAGAGAAGAAGGAGAGAGGGAAGGAGAAGGGAGAGAAGAGGCGGACCAAGAAAGCCCCGTTCCAGCTGCTCTTGTGCGACATGGATGGTATGTGGGGCATGGATGGTATGTGGGGCATGGATGGTATGTGGTGTGTGGATGGTATGTGTGGTGTGTGGATGGTATGTGTGGTGTGTGGATGGTATGTGTGGTGTGTGGATGGTATGTGTGGTGTGTGGATGGTATTTGTGGTGTGTGGATGGTATGTGTGGTGTGTGGATGGTATGTGTGGTGTGTGGATGGTATGTGTGGTGTGTGGATGTTATGTGCAATGAGAGGGAGCACCTCTCGAATAGCAGAGACGGCACTTGAAGAAAAAAAAACACCAAGGCGTGCTCTTATGGACGCTTCTGCAGCACACGCAAGGCCGTGCATTATGCCAGGCCTCTGTTCTGCATTCTCCCATATTTCTTCTCCTCCCGTGCGTGCGTGCCAGGCACACTGCTCAACAGCACCAGCAAGATCTCGCCATTCACAGCAGAGCCTTCGAGCGCTCACACGCCAAGGGCGTGCACTGTACCATGCCAAGGGCGTGCACTGTACCACGCCAAGGGCGTGCACTGTACCACGCCAAGGGCGTGCACTGTACCACGCCAAGGGCGTGCACTGTACCACGCCAAGGGCGTGCACTGTACCACGCCAAGGGCGTGCACTGTACCACACCTCTCATCTGCATTCTCCTCCCATGCTCCTTCCTTTCCCCCCTGCATCTGCCTGCCAGGCACACTGCTCAACAGCGCCAGCAAGATCGCCCCATCAACAGCAGAGGCCCTGAGAGCAGCCCACGCCAGGGGCGTGCGCGTGGCCATCGCCACGGGCAAAGCACGGCCAGCCGCCATGTCCGCCCTGGGCGCGGCAGGGCTGGTTGGGTCTGCTGGCATCTTCAGCGACAAGTCGCCGGGGGTGTTCCTGCAGGTGTGTGCGGGGTGCAGGTGTGTGCGATGTGCAGGTGTGTGCGAGGTGCATGTGTGTGCGATGTGCATGTGTGTGCAAGGTGCAGGTGTGTCAAACGCTTACACTGATGTGGAATAGGGGTGCTGCAGGTGCATGGTAATCCTAAGGTTCAAGTAGACACTGCCCACGGTAAAGGCAAGGCCAGCTGCCATGTCCGCTCTGGGCGCTGCAGGGCTGGTTGGCTCTGCTGGGATATTCAGTGACAAGTCCCCGGGGGTGTTCCTGCAGGTGTGTGACATGCTAAGTTGCTATAGGATACGGGTGTTACAGCTGCTAGCCTCCAGGGTACGGTTGTTACAGCAACCAGACTCCAGGGTAGGGCTGTACGTGCCGCTGTATGCTTAGCATTTTACCTTTTTTGCTTGCGCTGATGCACGGGTGCTTGTATTTGCACGTGCGAGTCCCCCCATCCACGTGTGTGTGTGCGTGCATGCGTGCATGCGTGCGTGCGTGCGTGCGTGCGTGCGTGCGTGTGATTCTCAACCCGCCAGGGTCTGAGGGTGTACGGCAAGGGAGGGCAGGTGGTGCACAACGCGCTGCTGCCCCGCGAGGTCACTCAGGAGGTGCGTGCCATCCACTGCCCCGCGAGGTCACTCAGGAGGTGCGTGCCATCCACTGCCCCGCGAGGTCACTCAGGAGGTGCGTGCCATCCACTGCCCCGCGAGGTCACTCAGGAGGTGCGTGCCATCCACTGCCCCGCGAGGTCACTCAGGAGGTGCGTGCCATCCACTGCCCCGCGAGGTCACTCAGGAGGTGCGTGCCATCCACTGCCCCGCGAGGTCACTCAGGAGGTGCGTGCCATCCACTGCCCCGCGAGGTCACTCAGGAGGTGCGTGCCATCCACTGCCCCTCCCTCCCGCCTTATGCTCATGCCTGTGTCCCTGCATGCGTCCAAGTGTAGTGTGTGCGGTAGGGGGGGCAGGTGATGTCCTCCTCCTCCTCCTCCTCCTCTGTCAGGCCACGCCTGCCCTCTCCTTGTCCCTCCGCTGTTGTTATTCCCTCTATCCTATGTTTGCCATCTTTACGCCTCGTTCAGCACTCGTAAACCCGATGTTCATTCCTGCTTCTCCCGCTTGCTCCCTCCCTCCCATCCATTTTGTGTATCCTCTCCTGCTCCCCCCCCTCCTCCTTCCTCTGCCCGGCTATGAGTTGGCCCCGAAGCATGGCAAGGCGAGGTGAACTACAGGAGTTGGCCGTGAACCTCGTTGCTCCACAGCTGCCTCATTGCCTTCTCGCCGCCCTTCCTCCGCCCCACAGGGCTTTGAGTTCGCCCTGAAGCACGGCAAGGCGCTCATTGGCTTCTGTGGGGACCGCTGCGTGACACTTGTCGATCACCCATTGGTGGAGGCGCTGCACACCATCTACTATGAGCCACGGGTATGTTACCCTCCCCCTGCTGCTGCTGAAAGCATGCTCTCCATTGGTGGAGGTGCTGCTGCACACCATATCCTTACCATGGCACACGCTATGTGATTTCCATGACACGCCATGTGAGTTCCATGAGACGCCATGTAATTATCGTTGTTAATGTTCATGTTCCTCATGTGCTCATGCTCTAGTGTGCATACATTTGATGTGAATTCCATGCGTGAAGTCGATGTTCCTTATATGTGCTCCTGTTTGCTTGCGTGTTTATGTGTGTGTGGCAGGCGGAGGTGATGCAGAGTGTGCACCACATCATCAACGAGACTCCCATCCAGGTGAGCGCGACAGCCCCCTCATGTGACAGTGTTACGAAGTAATTCCAGCAGCTTTCAGGGTTCGTCATCCACTCAGTAACCCCTTTTGCATCCATTCTATCCCCCCTCTCTTTCCCTCCTACCTCTGTCTCCTCTTTTACTGTTCTCCTTCCCCCATCGCCTGCTCCTCAAGCAGAAGCTCCTGTTTTACGACACGCCGCACGGCATTGACGGCTTCATTCGTCCTTTCTGGTCGGCCGCTACAGCCGGCCGTGCAACAGTGACTCAGGCCGTGCCGGACATGCTTGAGATTCTGCCGCCCGGGCAATCCAAGGGGGCGGGAGTGAGAGTCCTGCTGGACCATCTCAAGCTCTCTGCGGAGCAGGTCGGTTCTTTAACCATACATATGGTGTTCCATTCTGCTGCACAACTTTTTCACTACCCCCTCTGTTTTCTCTCCGTGACATACGCACGCGTGCACATACGTGCACACACACATGCACAGGCATGCACGCACGCACGCTCGCACGCACGCGCGCGCACGCACGCATGCACGCTCGCACGCACGCATGCACGCTCGCACGCACGCATGCACGAACGCACGCACGCACGAATGCACGCACGCACGAATGCACGCACGCACGCTCGCCCCCCCACCCACCCCTCCCAACCCCCCACACCCACCCACACGCGCGCGTGCGTGCGCGCACGCACACAGGCCGTTTCGTTCATGTTTGTGGGCCGAGTTTTGACGTGATTTAGTTCCTCTAATCTGTTGCAGGTTATGGCAATTGGTGATGGCGAGAACGATCTTGAAATGATTGAGATGGTGGGTTGGGGAGTGGCTATGGCGAATGGTTCCGAGAAGACTAAGGCTGTTGCGAAGGCCACAGTTGCAAGCAATGATGATGATGGTATTGCAGAAGCGATTCATAAATTCATCTTGTAAAGCACTGTAATGGTAATTTCTTATCAAAACATGCGAGAAAGTGTAACCTTCCGTGTATGCATTCCGACTTTGTCCATTGGGACTGACGAGAAGCGAAAAGCGCGAAAGTGAACTCTGACAGAACTTAGAATTGCGAGCCGTTCGAGCTTGGTCGTGGGTCCGGTTGTTCAAACGGCGACCGTCAACTAGGTCTCGTCACCTCGATTTCTCCCTCGTCTCCTGCCGCTCATTCCGTCACATCACGTCCATTCCCCCACATCTTCAAATCGCAACCCGCTATTGGCGTGGTGGAATCCTTCTTGTGAATGTTCAAGTCGCGTTTACAAGGGCAGTTGTCAGAAGCTTTGCCACATTCTAGATTTCCGTTCAGCGTTTCGCGGACGCACAGGAATCAGGGCCACTTATCTTCACAGGGTCGGTCGACGACCCACCGAAGTAATGGGCGCTGTCAGAACTGACTCCTCCTAACCTGAATAGTATCGTTCGCGATCCAATCCCCATGGACACGTCAGCTGCCGCACATCCTGCGCAGGTGTCCTTCCCCACCACGCCAGAATCGGGCCTCCGCGTTTCGCGGAGCGCAGGGAACGTGCAGGAATCCGCGAATGGCTCGAGCACCGCGTCGACGCCGCGCAGTCACAAAGAAATGGAGGCGCTCGCGTACTCCTCTGGCCAGAGCCTCGCGTCGGTTCTTAACGACCCGCGCCTCGGAAAGGCCGGAATTTACGGAACCGAGAACGCGTGGACGTGGATTACCGCGCAGCGGCCAGTGGAGCCGGTTTTAGAGGGTCCTCCGCCTCTGCCGCCGGAAATTCAGGATTTTCCCATGTCGGAATTTCAGCCGTATTTGCAGCGGATGCGGGAGCCGTACGGGCGATTCGTTGACGTGCAGGAGCATTCCACGTGGGAGTTGGCCACTGGGGAGGCACCCGGTGCTGACGTGGACAGCGAGGGGAGAGAGGAACGGAAAGGGAAGGGTATTCTAGCATCGCGGTCAGAAGGTCAGGGTCTAGCAGCGTGTCTCAGGGAAATACCCCCGGTGTATTTCGACGAGCATTTTGCCCTTGAGCGGAAGGAGATTTTTGACACGGTCTGCCCGTCTCCCTCCATTCCCGCGAATATGCTTCTACAGGAGAAATTATCGCATTACTTAGACCTCGTCGAAGTGCACTTAGTTAAGGAAATCTCTTCCCGCTCCGACTCGTTCTTCGAGGCCCTGGAAAAACTGGAAGATCTGAACCGTGGGATTGTGGAGACGTGCGATCGCATCCGTCTGTTGCGCGGCACGGTGGGGATGCTGGACGAGGATCTGCTGGAAGGATCGCGGAAGCTGCAGGCGACCAAGGTTCGGCGGGAGAACCTGCTGCAGCTGCATCAGAAGCTGAAGCTAGTGGCGTTCGTGCACCAGGCCATGGCGACGTTGAAGCTGGTAAGGAGCAATTCGGTAAGAAGCCATCCCTTCTGGTGTCCTCTGGTGACAGTGCGGGCGCTTTGGATGTGAGAGAGGAGGGGCTCAGCTCGGACACCTCATCCACGGCAGCGACCTGATGGGTGCCCCACTCCCCTGCCTTCCTGAGGCTTTGAGCCGTGTCAAGCTCACGCTCCCAATGTCCCCACCACCCTACCATCCCACCAGCTGGTGTCGTCACGCGACTGTGCAGGCGCGTTGGACACGATGATCGACTTGAGGCGCCTCATTGAGGGGCAGGAGCTCACTGGGTGCTCGTGACTGTACCTTGCACCCCGTAATTCGTGCTTACCAGACGTTCCTTACTGCCCATCCTCCCACCCACCACCCCACCACCCAATCCCCATCAGCTGGTGTCATCGGGCGACTGTGCGGGCGCGTTGGACGTGATGGACGACTTGAAGCGCCTCATGGAGGGCAGCGAGCTCACTGGGTGCTCGTGATGCTGGCGTGCGCGCTTTGCTTCCTGCCCTCTCATCATTCCTTGCTGCCCATGCCGCTCTTCACCACCTCTTCCCTGCCCATCAGCTGCGGTCGTCACGCAACTGTGCGGGCGCGCTGGACGTGATGGACGACCTCAGACGCCTAATGGAGGGACAGGAGCTCACTTGGTGGCTTCTTCCCTCTGGTCCTTCCTTTTCAACCAACACTGCACCACCCCTTTCCATCAGCTGGTGTCCTCGGGCGACTGTGCGGGCGCGTTGGACGTGATGGACGACTTGAGGCGCCTCATGGAGGGGCAGGAGCTGGCAGGGCTGCACTGCTTCCGCCCCCTCAACGACCTCCTCCTCTCCTCCTCCGATGCCGTCAACAGGTCTGTTTCCCTCTCTTACCCTCCTGCCATTCTCACATCCCTCTCTGCACTGCTTCTGCCGTCAACAGGTTGGTCTCTCTCCCCTCCTGCCACTGTTTCTCCTCTGCTTTCCTCCTGCCTCCACTCGCCCAGACATCCACGATCACTCCCACGATGCATGCTACTACTCTATAATCCATCCCTTACCTTTCCCCCCTACACCATCCGTCGGCCTTCCCAGTCTCTTAACGGTTGACTTTGTGCAGGGAGCAGTGTCTTGAGAGTCCACTCAGAAGTCACCTCTGTTTCTCTCGTCCATCCCATACCCCCCTCTCACCCCCCCATTCCCTTCCGCCCTCGCAGCCTCCTTACAGCTGAATTTGTCCGGGAAGCAGTGCACGATGCTGCTGACGTGGCGCCTTCCGCCATAGTCACCAGCTTCAACATGCAGAAGAGTGTGCCCCCAGCTGCAACGCTGCTCTCTATAGTCAACCTCGAGGTGTGTGCAGGAACTGTGTGACTATAGATACAAAGCGTGGTGACTGGTGCAGAATCAGCCTTGTTCTGGCGCGCTTCATAGCCAGTATCCCAGGCCTGCCTGTGCTTGTGTGTAGTAATCGAGTTCCAAGACGTCTCAATAGTTGGGCCCACAGGTTTGTGAATGTTTGTTGCTCGTTCTCCTGTGTGACCTGCTGTTCCTCTTCTCTAAGTCCTGTGTCTTGCCATGTTTCGCCCTTTGTTTCTGTGTCTGCTCCGTCCATACCTTGTATCGCCCCGTGCATGCCTGTCGCATGCCTCGCCCCCCCACGTGCATGCCTGGTGCATGCATGGATCCCAACCCATTGCGTGCCCCTATCATGCCCCATCCATGCCCCATCCATGCCCCATCCATGCCCCATCTGTACCCCATCCGTACCCCATCCGTACCCCATCCATGCCCCGTCCGTTCCCTGCCCGTGCCTGGTGCATGCGTGGCCTCGCCCCGTCCATGGTGGTGCATGCAGCGAGAGGGCATGGAGGAGAGGGAGGCTCGCCTGAGGGAGCATCTGCTGCCACTCGTCATCAGCCTGCTGCGCACAGTAAGGGTTCAGGGGTGAGGGTTTGGGTGTGGAATTAGGGGTCCAAGCACTGGCTCTCATGTGAACCGGGCATGCAGGTCGAACATAAGGGAAGGAGGGGAAGGGGGGGAAGAGGAAAGGGAGGTGGGGTGGGTTGTCTTTGAGTGCAACTGCTGCTGCCACTCGTCATCAGCCTGCTGTGCACAGTAAGGGGCCAGGGGTGAGGGGTGAGGGGTGAGCGGTGAGCGGTTGAGTGTGAGGTTTGGGGTGTGCTGGGATGCAGTGAGGGTGGGGCTTCAGGTGGCCGTTACGTTCTTCTTCACCTTGTTTCCCCCCCACCCATACCTGTCTCCCACCCTCTCATCTCTCCTCCACCAGTCGCGCCTGCCTGCGGTGCTGAGGACATATCGAGATGCAGTGAATTGGACACATCAAGGTTTTTCATCTCCATGCGCTCCCCTAACGCCATATCCTCCCCACTCCCCCAGTCGCGCCTGCCTGCAGTGCTGCGCGCATACCGAGATGCAGTGAGTGCAGGCATCAAGACGGCCGTAAAGCTCTTTCCTTCTTTTCCTTTCCCTAACCCCTGCTCTTTTCTGCTCCCTCCAGTCGCGCCTGCCGGCAGTGCTGCGGGCCTATCGGGATGCAGTGAATGTGGACATCAAGGCGGCCGTGAAGACCGTGGTGGGCGAGCTGCTGCCGCTGCTCTTCCTGCAGCACGCCGCCGCTGCTGCTGCTGCTGGTGGGGCGCCGGGTGGTGCAGGAGGCGAGGGGGGCGACGCTGCAGCCGATGCCCTCAATGGTGAGACATGCGGCCAGTGGTGGATGGGATGGGATGAGTTGAATGGGCTGATTTGAAAATTTTAGCATTTCGGGTTTTAAATGAGGAGGAAAGGGGGCGAGCCTGCAGCCGATGTGCTGAACGGTGAGACACGAGGTGCAGTGGGGGATAGAACCAGGGGACCCGGTTGATTTGGGGCAATTTCTTTGACATATGGAGGGGAAGGGAGCGAGCCTGTTGCTGTGAGAGAGGCGTTGGTTTGGAGTCATTATCACGCTCTTCTTTTCAAAGAAGGGAAGCGGTTCAACCTTTTGCTCATTATTTGTGTCTTTCTTCATGCGAATGAGGTCTCACACCCACTTTCTTCCACCCATGTAGCCTTCTCCCAACCAACTAACATGTACCTATTCAATCAACCCTCACCGTCCTCCCACTCTCCTTCCCCAACTCACCCCCCCTTCCCCTCTCCCCTCCCCGCCACCTCCCCCTCCACCCCCAACCCAGCGCCATCGCTCGCCCTCAAGCTCCGTGCCCTCGCCCCGCCTGCCTTCGTCCACTTACTGCTCGCCGTCTTCTCTGCCGTCCAGACCCGCCTCGTGCGGGCGGCAGCCGTTCGGAACGTAGTGTCTGGCATTGCCACCGCCGGAGCTGCTGCCGGTGCTGCTGCCACGGCCGCCGAGCCTGCCGTGGGGTACGAGGCTGCTGCCGTGGCTGCGGCGTTTGCTTCGGGGGCAGAGCTAGTGGTGGCTGCCGAGGCTGCTGAGTCGAAGCTGCTGGGGAGAAAGGGGGTGGGAAAAGGCTTGGGAGGGGGAGGGGCGGCAGGTGGCGTTGGGGGAGCAGCAGGGAGTGGGGAGGCAGCGGGGGGCGATGTGAGCAGCGTGACTGCTTTAGCCACGTCCAAGCAGCTCAGGTACGTTGTGCTCCCACCCACCCACCTGAGCTCTGTCACCTGTGCTCCCACCCACCCACCGGAGTTTTGCCACCTGTGCTCCCACCTGACCCCTGCCACTTGTGCTCCCCATCCTCCCATCCTCCCATCCTCCCATCCTCCCATCCTCCCATCCTCCCATCCCCCCATCCTCCCATCCTCCCATCCTCCCATCCTCCCATCCTCCCATCCTCCCATCCTCCCATCCTCCCATCCCCCCATCCTCCCATCCTCCAACCCCTTCAAACTCAACCCCTCAGAGCGGACGTGCTGAGGGAGAATGCGGAGGCAGTGAGCGATGCATGCGAGGTGGCGCACGGGCGGTGGGCGAAGCTGCTGGGCGTGCGAGCACAGGTGCACCCGAAGCTGTCTTTGGGCGACTTTGTGGACATGTACGCTGTCACCTCCGACTTCATTGCCTCCACTGAACGGGTGAGCTGCTGCTGTGAGTGTGGGACATGGCTTGGAGCATCATGGTAAGTCATTGCTGCCCCGTGGGGGTCTTTCGTGGCCATGTATGCTGTCCCCTCGTGGCCATGTATGCTGTCCCCTCGTGGCCATGTATGCTGTCCCCTCGTGGCCATGTATGCTGTCCCCTCCGACTTTATCGCATCAACGGAGCGGGTGAGCTGGTGCTGCGGTTTATAATGCACAAGTGCTGCTGTGGGTGGGATTCACAGCTGCTGTTGCTGGGCTGCAAAGTTACCTTTTACCGTTACCCCCTCATATCTCCCCTCCTTGCCTTTCCCTGCCGTCCACTACCGCTCCCACTCCGTCCCCTCTGTGCCACAGGTGGGCGGCAGGCTGGGCTACAGCATACGGGGCGCGCTACAGTCGCAGGCCAAGGCGTTGGTTGAGACACATCACTCGAAGGAGGTGAGGTGCAGCAGTGGAGGGAGGTGAGGTGCAGCAGTGGAGGGAGGTGAGGTGCAGCAGTGGAGGGAGGTGAGGTGCAGCAGTGGAGGGAGGTGAGGTGCAGCAGTGGAGGGAGGTGAGGTGCAGCAGTGGAGGGAGGTGAGGTGCAGCAGTGGAGGGGAGGATGGGAGGAAGGGGAGATGGATGGGTCCCCTCTCCCCTCTCCCCTCTCCCCTCTCCCCTCTCCCCACCAGATGGCGCTCATCCTCTCGTCCCTCCACAAGGAAATCTGGAAGGCTGTAGAAGCCACCACTTCACATTGTGAATTCCTGTCCCTCACTGCTCCCTCATCCGTGCTTCCCACTCGCTGCTTCCCTGTTCCCCTCTCACCTCATCCCACCAGATGGCGCTCATCCTCTCGATCCTCAACAAGGACACATGGACGGCTGTGAATGTTTTCTTTCACACCGTTGCCTCCTGTGCTCCGTGCTCCCCGCTCCCCTCGCCTCTCGCCCGTCTCCCCTCGCCTCTCGCCCGTCTCCCCTCGCCTCTCGCCCGTCTCCCCTCGCCTCTCGCCCGTCTCCCCTCTCATCACATCACATCAGATGGCACCCATTCTCTCGCTCCTCAACAAGGTGATCCTGTGCTTCATCCTCTCTTCACTGAAAGAAGGAGGTGATCCTGTGCTTCATCCTCTCTTCACTGAAAGAAGGAGGTGATCCTGTGCTTCATCCTCTCTTCACTGAAAGAAGGAGGTGATCCTGTGCTTCATCCTCTCTTCACTGAAAGAAGGAGGTGATCCTGTGCTTCATCCTCTCTTCACTGAAAGAAGGAGGTGATCCTGTGCTTCATCCTCTCTTCACTGAAAGAAGGAGGTGATCCTGTGCTTCATCCTCTCTTCACTGAAAGAAGGAGGTGATCCTGTGCTTCATCCTCTCTTCACTGAAAGAAGGAGGTGATCCTGTGCTTCATCCTCTCTTCACTGAAAGAAGGAGGTGATCCTGTGCTTCATCCTCTCTTCACTGAAAGAAGGAGGTGATCCTGTGCTTCATCCTCTCTTCACTGAAAGAAGGAGGTGATCCTGTGCTTCATCCTCTCTTCACTGAAAGAAGGAGGTGATCCTGTGCTTCATCCTCTCTTCACTGAAAGAAGGAGGTGATCCTGTGCTTCATCCTCTCTTCACTGAAAGAAGGAGGTGATCCTGTGCTTCATCCTCTCTTCACTGAAAGAAGGAGGTGATCCTGTGCTTCATCCTCTCTTCACTGAAAGAAGGAGGTGATCCTGTGCTTCATCCTCTCTTCACTGAAAGAAGGAGGTGATCCTGTGCTTCATCCTCTCTTCACTGAAAGAAGGAGGTGATCCTGTGCTTCATCCTCTCTTCACTGAAAGAAGGAGGTGATCCTGTGCTTCATCCTCTCTTCACTGAAAGAAGGAGGTGATCCTGTGCTTCATCCTCTCTTCACTGAAAGAAGGAGGTGATCCTGTGCTTCATCCTCTCTTCACTGAAAGAAGGAGGTGATCCTGTGCTTCATCCTCTCTTCACTGAAAGAAGGAGGTGATCCTGTGCTTCATCCTCTCTTCACTGAAAGAAGGAGGTGATCCTGTGCTTCATCCTCTCTTCACTGAAAGAAGGAGGTGATCCTGTGCTTCATCCTCTCTTCACTGAAAGAAGGAGGTGATCCTGTGCTTCATCCTCTCTTCACTGAAAGAAGGAGGTGATCCTGTGCTTCATCCTCTCTTCACTGAAAGAAGGAGGTGATCCTGTGCTTCATCCTCTCTTCACTGAAAGAAGGAGGTGATCCTGTGCTTCATCCTCTCTTCACTGAAAGAAGGAGGTGATCCTGTGCTTCATCCTCTCTTCACTGAAAGAAGGAGGTGATCCTGTGCTTCATCCTCTCTTCACTGAAAGAAGGAGGTGATCCTGTGCTTCATCCTCTCTTCACTGAAAGAAGGAGGTGATCCTGTGCTTCATCCTCTCTTCACTGAAAGAAGGAGGTGATCCTGTGCTTCATCCTCTCTTCACTGAAAGAAGGAGGTGATCCTGTGCTTCATCCTCTCTTCACTGAAAGAAGGAGGTGATCCTGTGCTTCATCCTCTCTTCACTGAAAGAAGGAGGTGATCCTGTGCTTCATCCTCTCTTCACTGAAAGAAGGAGGTGATCCTGTGCTTCATCCTCTCTTCACTGAAAGAAGGAGGTGATCCTGTGCTTCATCCTCTCTTCACTGAAAGAAGGAGGTGATCCTGTGCTTCATCCTCTCTTCACTGAAAGAAGGAGGTGATCCTGTGCTTCATCCTCTCTTCACTGAAAGAAGGAGGTGATCCTGTGCTTCATCCTCTCTTCACTGAAAGAAGGAGGTGATCCTGTGCTTCATCCTCTCTTCACTGAAAGAAGGAGGTGATCCTGTGCTTCATCCTCTCTTCACTGAAAGAAGGAGGTGATCCTGTGCTTCATCCTCTCTTCACTGAAAGAAGGAGGTGATCCTGTGCTTCATCCTCTCTTCACTGAAAGAAGGAGGTGATCCTGTGCTTCATCCTCTCTTCACTGAAAGAAGGAGGTGATCCTGTGCTTCATCCTCTCTTCACTGAAAGAAGGAGGTGATCCTGTGCTTCATCCTCTCTTCACTGAAAGAAGGAGGTGATCCTGTGCTTCATCCTCTCTTCACTGAAAGAAGGAGGTGATCCTGTGCTTCATCCTCTCTTCACTGAAAGAAGGAGGTGATCCTGTGCTTCATCCTCTCTTCACTGAAAGAAGGAGGTGATCCTGTGCTTCATCCTCTCTTCACTGAAAGAAGGAGGTGATCCTGTGCTTCATCCTCTCTTCACTGAAAGAAGGAGGTGATCCTGTGCTTCATCCTCTCTTCACTGAAAGAAGGAGGTGATCCTGTGCTTCATCCTCTCTTCACTGAAAGAAGGAGGTGATCCTGTGCTTCATCCTCTCTTCACTGAAAGAAGGAGGTGATCCTGTGCTTCATCCTCTCTTCACTGAAAGAAGGAGGTGATCCTGTGCTTCATCCTCTCTTCACTGAAAGAAGGAGGTGATCCTGTGCTTCATCCTCTCTTCACTGAAAGAAGGAGGTGATCCTGTGCTTCATCCTCTCTTCACTGAAAGAAGGAGGTGATCCTGTGCTTCATCCTCTCTTCACTGAAAGAAGGAGGTGATCCTGTGCTTCATCCTCTCTTCACTGAAAGAAGGAGGTGATCCTGTGCTTCATCCTCTCTTCACTGAAAGAAGGAGGTGATCCTGTGCTTCATCCTCTCTTCACTGAAAGAAGGAGGTGATCCTGTGCTTCATCCTCTCTTCACTGAAAGAAGGAGGTGATCCTGTGCTTCATCCTCTCTTCACTGAAAGAAGGAGGTGATCCTGTGCTTCATCCTCTCTTCACTGTCCTCACACTCCCCACCAGATGGCGCTCATCCTCTCACTGTTGAACAAGGAGACATGGACGGCTGTAGATGCCACTCCTGACACCCAGGCCCTCGTTGACTTCTTCTGCACCTTCCTGGATCCTTCTGCCGAAGCCGCTGCTGCTGCCGCTGCTGATGCGGCTGCTGCTGTTGCTGCTTCTGATGCTGCTGCTGCTACTGCTGCTGCTGATGCCGCTACTGCTGCTGCTGCTGCTAATGAGGCCGCCACTTCTGCTGCTGCTGATGCCGCTGCTGCTGCTGCTGCTGTTGATGTGGCTGCTGCTTCCGATGCTGCTGAGCCTGCTGTGGATGGCTATAGGGCTGCACATGAGGCTGCGCGGGACACTGCAGCAGCCAGTGGGCCGATGACAGGTGGCGGTTTAGCACAGGCTGGGGGTGGCCCGAGGGAAGATGAGGCACAAGAATCAGTGCAGCTAGAGCAGGCAGCAGAGGGTGATAGGAGTGACGGGCAAGGGCAGGCGAATGCGAGAAGAGGGGACGGTAGTGTGGCAAGTGAGGGAGGAAGAAGAGAAGGCCGCGAGGGTGGAATGGAGGGTGGTGGAGACGGGGCAGGTGTCATGGTGCAAGGAGGAGCAGCAGGAAGAGGGGAGGCTGAGAGGGTAGGGGCGGAGGGGATGGAGAAGGGAGGGGAGTTGAGGAGGGAGGGAGGTGAGGGAGAAGCAGAGGGGTTGCAGCGAAGGGAGACGGTGCCAGGTGCAGCTGCTTCGCCTGCTGCAACCGCTGCTGGGGAGGCACCGCCTGTTGCTGCTGTAGCACCTGCCCCACCGACGGAAGCAGCGCCAGCAGCAGCTTCTGCTGCTGCTGCTGCTGCTCCTGCTGCTGCCTCTCCTGCTCCTGCCTCTCCTGCTGCTGCTGCTCCTGCTGCTGCCGCCTCCCCTGCTTCCCCTGCCACTGGAGCAGCAGAGGGGCCCAAGGCACAGAAGAGGGCAGCTGTGAAGACTGTCGTGTGCCGGGGAGTGAAATACCACGTCACTGCCAGGTGAGAAACGTGCCATGTCACTGGCAGGTAAGGGTTCCTGGGTTGATATTAACGTTTATGGAGCATGCAGCATGTCCCTCATGCGCACTTAGCAGGGGACCTGACTCACCTCACCCATACATGAGGTCGAGGCCTTCTTGTTGTCGCTTACTGGTTCTGCCATGCCACACTTGCAGGTGGGGCGGTGCTCTTGCTACGATACCCGCCCTGCTATTGCGATCCGCGGACGTGATGCAGCGCCCAGCCTCCCTTCCTTTCTCTTCGTCTCACCCATCCTCTCCTCTCCTCTCCGCCCTTGCCCTCCCTCCCACCAGCACATGCACGCTGCTCTCAGGTACCAAAGAGTGCGTGGCAGTGGCGGAGGCACTGCGGTCACTCTCGGGGGAGGTGGAGCAGCGCCCGGCTTTCATTCGCCAACCCACCCTCAAATCCACCCTCTCGTCTCTTCTCATGCGCCCCCCCTATCCCACCAGTGCATGCACGCTCCTGTCAGGAGGAGAGTACGTGGCAGTGGCAGAGGCACTATCATCGCTGTCAGGGGAGGTGGTGCAGCGCCTGGCATGCGTTCCCTTGCCCCCTTTTGACTCACCTACTCCGCTCCTCTTCCACCCGCGCCCCCCTACCCCACTAGTGCATGCACGCTGCTGTCAGTGACCAGGGAGTACGTGGCGGTGGCGGAGGCGCTCCCATCGCTGGCAGGGGAGGTGGTGCAGCGCCTGGCGGACCTGCTGAAGCTCTTCAACTCGCGCACCTGCCAGCTTGTGCTGGGCGCGGGCGCCATGCAGGTGGGGAGGGGCTTGCATGGGTGGCAAGCAGGGTGTAGGCGTGCATGGGCGCCATGCAGGTGGGGAGGGGCTTGCATGGGTGGCAAGCAGGGTGTAGGCGTGCATGGGCGCCATGCAGGTGGGGAGGGGCTTGCATGGGTGGCAAGCAGGGTGTAGGCGTGCATGGGCGCCATGCAGGTGGGGAGGGGCTTGCATGGGTGGCAAGCAGGGTGTAGGCGCTGTGCAGGGAAGGGCGACCTGTGCCGTGATCACACGGGGGGTGGACCGTGGAGGCTGTGAGGCACAGCGAGCTGGCTGTAGGCCTTACAGGAGACGGGGCCTGTGAGCCTGGTTGCAGCAAGGGTGCCCATGCCGCAAATGCATGAAGGTCTGTAAGCCGCCTGCCAAGTGCCGCTGCCAGAAGAGTCTGCACGTGGTTCTTCATTTTATCCGCGCCCCTTGCTGCCGCTCCCCTACTCTCCCTCCCGGCAGGTGTCCGGGCTGAAAACCATCACAGCCAAGCACCTCGCACTCTCCAGCCAATGCATCTCCCTCGTCTATGCTCTCATCCCCGGTGAGTTAAACTTAGGGTTTAGTCACAACAGATTGACATGCCTATATCACAAGGCTAGCCTGCAGGGGAAAGCATGAACGCATGGCCGAGCGATTGGTTTATCGGCACCAATCCAATGCGTCTTGCTCGTGTCTGCGCTCCCAGGGGCGAGCTGCTGCATGCAGCACTGACCTACGTGCACACTGTGTGGTGTACTCATCCCCGCTGACCCATGCACCCCCGTGTGCATCTCGAATTCGCATTGCCGCCTTGTTGCCCCTCCTTGCACAGTTGCACTTGTCTCGTTCCCCATGCACTCGTCATACCCCATCCCCCATCATCCCCCCATCCCATGTCCCACCAGACCTGCGGCGCATTCTGTCTGCCTTCATCCCCGATGCGCGGCGAGGGCTCGTCATAACGCACCTTGACCGCGTGGCTCAGGTACGTGTGCCTGCACATTTGCTCCATGCTCCATTCTCCATTCTCCATGCTCCATGCTCCATGCTCCATGCTCCATGCTCCATGCTCCATGCTCCATGATCCATGCTCCTGCTGCTGTGTTTTCCAACACCCCACCCCACCCCACCCCACCCCCCCCACTGCACGGCACGGCACCACAGGACTACAGGGTGCACAGGGACGAGATCCACAGCAAGCTGGTGGCAATCATGAGGGAGCGCCTGCTCGTGCACCTGCGCTCGCTGCCCGCAGTAGCTGACACCTACTGCCGCCCGGACGACTCCCCTGCCGAGCAGCAGCCCTCCAACTTCGCCCGTGCCCTCACCAAGGCATACCTCTTCTTCCTCTCACCCACTCTCGCCCCTCATGCCTCTCATGCCCCTCATGCCTCTCATGCCCCTCATGCCTCTCATGCCCCTCATGCCTCGCATGCTGTAGCTGTTGTGCCTGATGATGTTCTGCTTCCTTCTTGTCTCAATCAGCCAAACCGCTCTAAGCCACACCTCCCCCACCATCTCCCCCCACCATCACACCCCCACCATCTTACCCCAACCCTGTGACCCGCACTCGCTGCCCCCCGCCATCTCCCCTGGCCACACCAGGAGGTGGGCGTGCTGCATCGCATCCTCTCCCCTCTGCTGCTCGAGGCCGACCTTCGCTCCATCTTCTCGTGCGTACCGTATCGTACCATACTGCACCGTATTGTACTGTACCATAGCCATGGTGGCCCCTCATTCCCAGCGGTGCTTCTTGTTCCCTGTTCCCACAGGCACTCCTCATTTCCAGGCACACTCCTATTTTGTCTCTTGCTGAATATCCCCATTCCCACATATGCTGTCATACCCTTGTCCCCACACTCCTCTCACATCCCTGTGCCACAAGTGCTGCCATACCCGCATTCCCTTTCTCATCCTCCGGTCCCTCAGCCCATGCCCCATCCCCCTCTCAACCTGCCATCAACCATGCCCCATCTTCCTTTTTTCTCCACTCCTCTCCTTGTCCCTTGTGCCTCTCCTGTGGGTGCACACACGCACGTGTGGGTGGGGGCGCACAACACAACACACCAGGCGGGTGGTGGCACTGTTCCATGTGCAGCTCGCCGACTCCTTTGCCAAAATTGACACACCCACACCACAGGCCAAGCGCAGGTCAGAGGGGAAGAGGGGGAGAGAGGAGGAGGGTGGGGGGGGAAGAGGGTCTCTTGATGCACTGTTGTGAAGCGGCTTTGCCATCGGCTCATGGCTGCTTCGCAGCCCAATGTGGGTGGAAGAGCGTTCTTCTCATTTTATGCATTTCTGCTTCTGTATGCTCTTTCCTGTTAGGCACCCACGTTCTTCCACGTGTTTTTGTAACTCTCCTGGTCTTGGTCGTCTCGGGTAGAATGCAGAGCTACAATTTGCAAAGCTTCTCCATGCTTTTCCCCATGCCTTCATTGAATTGTACAGAATGTACCGAGACGTGGATCTCATTCTACAGTGCATGCGGTCGTTGCCTGGTAACCCGCCAACGTCCTCTTTTGATGGGCGGCAGAGAGAGCTTGACCAGTTTGTGCTCTCTAGGTTCGGAAACAGTGGCCCCCCTCCATGACGAATTGATGTATCTGATTGTTACATGAAGCCTCTCATCAATGTATGAATGTTTGAAAGTTATTTGTAGTGTACCAAGAGGAGAATGTGACGGAAGTTGTGTCAAACGTCAAGCAAGTTGTGCATAGCAATGTGGTACATACAACCTGTTTGTAACGTCATTATTTGCTCCATTTGACATTGACCTAGAGCGTTGCATTCGTCTCCTCTCCTCCCATAACCATTCCTCAGCTCTATATTGAGTAGTAGTCAAACTTCAATGTATATATGATTTTTGGCAGTATAGTCACCCAGTTAGCCCAATCTGAAGAGTAGTGAAGATGTGTGTGAACGAGTTTTTTTCTCAGCCTCAAGCAAAAAGTATTGCAGCGTTGTTCAGCTGATCCTCACTCCTGCCCAACAACCTTGCTCGAGGGAGTAACCCACGGAAGACCGTCCGATTTAGACTATCGGACGGAGTGTTCAACCTTTGTCGTTTCGATTTTTCGTGTGTGTTGTGTGGAAGGTGGTCGATTGGAGCATGAGGGCAGCTCCACGTTTGCTGAACCCCTCAAGAGCCCCAAGATGCTTTTGCATCTGACGGTTGAAAAAAATGAGCTTTGAATCGGACGGATGATACGTGGCTTCGAGCTTTCCTCCTTGTGGCTCTTGAAACCCTAGCCTCCCACACTCCCGTCCTCCTGCTCGCTCAAACTTTCTTCGCCTCTCCCCCCTTCTGTGGTGAACTATTTTTTTCTGGGACCCTAACTTTCACTTTCTTGTCCTTCCGAGCTTTGTTTCTCTAGTCTTCGTCGTTTGAAAGTTTCAGCCGCCACGTTTCGAGCTGGGAAAAAAATAATCACAGCACCCCCTTCCCACATACCAAGGTAGGAATGCATAAAGGCAAATCAAAACTTAGTTTTAGCTTTCTCTTGTACCACGCTTTTAATACTTGGCATACCTGTTCAGAGGCTTATTCTACAGCTTGAGCTTGACGACCATGGCTCCTCTTTTCACACGTGTCTTCAGGTCTTCGTTCGAGAACAAGCTATTTCAAGTGTTCCTTCGCGGAGTATCGAACCCATCACCGCCGCTAGATAGTAGTGCAATTTCGCCAAGATGATGCAAATGCCGGGAATGGCGTACGAGGACGAGCGGGCAAAGATGATAGCCTTTCCCGCCATGCCTCCACCGCACATGATAATGTCAGCAGGCAACCCGGTTTCGGTTAGAGCAGTCGACTTAATTCCTCGTGATGGCCTACCGCACGAGACTTATCGCATGGCGTTAGGCACTCTGATGAGCTCGCTAGCTCGATTCAACTACGGTAAGCGCTCAACGTTGTCGCCGCGTCTGTATCGTAGCTCCTGAACGCAGCAGTTTTACTGACAGAAACGCAACGTTTCTACTTCGTTATCCAGCAATCATTCAAATGCCACCTGGTGATGAAGCCCTGGTCCGATACACGCTAGACTCCTCGCGCGTTTATTTCCAGGTAAGCAATCTCCAAGGACTTTCCGTTTTAACACGACTTTCTAGCACGAGCTCAGCTGACAATTGTCATGTCGGTGCAGTTTAAGCGGCGGCCGTCCCCGGCAATGCAGTCCATTCCGAGCGCGGACGACCCCCAGGAGTGGAACCGAACGGCAGGGTACTACTGCGAGCCGCATGTGGGGAAGGAGGTGTACGAGTTTCGACCAGGCGCAACACCAATCAGCGCAGTTCCGGAGGATTCCATACCTCCGTCATGTCTGCCAGGTTCGTTTCTTGCTCGCCTCATTTCTGCGTCTGAAGAAGCGATGCCTAAGCCCTTGTCTGACTTTCATTTGCTTGTTTGTTTGTTCTTTTGTGTGTTTTTGTGCCGTCTTCCGTCTCCTTTTTCGTTCGGTGTAACAGATGCGTTTGGGAGCATGGGAAAGACGTCGAGGACGGTGTTGGAGGCGATAGGAAGGTCTCTAGACCTGCGGTCGTACACGTTCACGGACCTCCTGGACAACGTTCCCCTCAAGGCCAACGAGATCTCCTCCTCCGTGCTCTCCGTCACCTGCCATGGACGCCGCTTTGCCAAGTAAATATCCAGGTCATTTATCAATAGTCCCCTTGCCCCTCTTCCCCTCCCCACCCCCCTCCTCCCCCTCCCCCCCATTCCCCCCACAATGTTTCATCCGTACCCCTTTTTTTGTCGACGTTATTGTCGTCAATGCCCGTGCTTGTGTCACCTCTCTCGATCCATTCTGACGTGGTGACGGTTGGATGAGCAGCGAGACGATGATGGACCCGGCAATGGACGACAAGGATCCTCTCCTCATCCCTCCGGAGGATGCCGAGGCGCGAGCGGAGAAGGGATTGGTGACATTGATCAAGTCGGACCGCCCTGGGCTGTACATCCGCGACCCGCAGAACCAATGGCTCCTAGCAGACGCCAACCTCGGCCCCAACGACCTTATACTCATTACCGGCTTGACTCTATATCAGGTACATTATCAACCCACGCTTCCATCAGCGTCACCCTTTCACGTCACGTTCTTGTCGTTTCTGTCCGTGGTAGGTATCGCGTGTGGGTGGCGTGCGTTGTCTTCATCTCGTCCTCCGCCCGGCGACCCCCCCGTGGCAGGCCACAGGCGGGTACGTGAGCCCAGCGCTGTACAAGACGGACCTGGCGAGCGCGTCGGTGGGCATGCAGGTGCCGGAGGGGCGCGCGTCCGTGTTCTTCCGCCTGCTGCCGCGCGCCTCCTCCATCATCCACTGCTCCGCCATGGCTGCGTCCGGGCACGCGATCGCGGGGCCGTTCCAGCAGCCGGTGGCGGTGCAGGACTTCATGCTGCGGCAGCACCCCATCGACCAGATCGCTGCTGCGTCGTACAACGGGCTGCTGCGCCCCATGGGCATGGGCGCCGCCATGCCCATGGTCGAACCAGGTGCGTGCACCAAGCATGTCCTCTCCCATCTTTCCCCCATTGCGGCAGTGTGTGTCTTTCTTTACCTGATGCGCACCTGTTTCTCCTCCTGTACCCTGTGTTTTTCTTTATTGTACCCCTTTTCATTGACTTAGCTTACTGGTGTCTTCTGTGTGCCTGGCAGGGTCACCAAACGTGCGGAGACGCAAGAAGCACCGTATCATGGGCAGCGACGGGCGGTCGCTGGCGCCGTCAAAGCGGCTGCGCATGGAGGCACAGCGCGTGCTCAAGGAGAAGGTGCAGGACCTGGCGGACGCCAAGGGCATCAAGATCCGATTCTGTAACCTCAAGGTCTGCCTGCCGGCCACTTCGCTCTGCTTCAAGGATGAGAGAATGCATTACCTTGTCGCATTCTCGTACAGGCTGGAATGCTGGTTCATCAGCTGTACTGCGATTGACATCAACCAGGGGGTTTGGTCTGTGTGTTTCATCTCATTCCATCTCCTGTCTCTGCCCATCCTCCTCCACCAGGAGTGTGAGGAGCAGCACATGGCGATGGAAGAGCCGCCATGCTCGTACCTGCGGCTGCAGCTGGGGTGGCCAGCCAACGTGCCCTTTGTGCATCCGCACGACCTGCCCAACCGCGCCAAGCAGGCCTTCCTTGAGGCCTACGAGCCCGGCTGGTCCGAGCGCCAGCTGTCGGAGCCCATGGGCATTGAAGTCGGCACCACTCCCAAGCGTGTCCAAGGTGAGTTGCCTGTTTGCGAGTGTATCTTTAGATAACTTCAGCCGCAAGGCCAGTCGTCACCTGTGTCTCTATGGCTCTTCACACTTCACTCCCATGGGCCATGCATTTGCACTCATATTGAAAATGGCCCGATCTTCTTCCTGGCAACGACCGTTACCCTGCCCCTCAACCACCCCCCTTTCCCCCCTTTGCAGCAGACACGTTCATGGACCCCATAGGGCCGGACGCCAAGTTCTCAACGCGCGCGGTGTACGAGTACCTGCGCACCAACAACAAGCCCGTGCCCACCGGCAAGCCCCAGGTCGTGGGCCACAAGGTCGACATCCCGCTGCTCTGCCGCATCGCCTTTGAGGCCGGCGGCAAGGACCAGGTCAGTACATGTCTGCCTGCCTTGTTTGATAGAAGAAATGTCAACTCTGCGAGGTGGATGTTTCCTTGCTTGTTTTCCATTCCTGGTTATTGATATGCAGTCGTTTATGGTCCACCCTCTTGCTTCATGCAGTTTGAGCAGATCAACGGCTTCCAGCGCTTCATAGCGGAGACGTTTCATCTGGACGGTGCAACGGAGAAGGAGAAGGAGCGGGCGCTGGAGCGGCTGCGCAAGCTGTATGAGCAGGTGCTGGCAGACTACGTTGAGACGCTCGTTGCCAACCATGCCATGGGCATGGGCGGTGGGGGAGCAGGGCAGCACATGGGTGGGGGTGAGCAGCAGCAGCAGCAGCAGCAACAACAACAGCAACAGCAGCAACAACAGCAGCAGCAACAGCAGCAAGTGCAAGTGCCTCAAGAAGGGAACATGCAGCAGCAGCAAGAACAACAGCAACAGCTCATGGCAATGTGATTTGGTTACTGTTAGTTTTTTTCTCTTGTATAATGGCTCTTTATGGCTTGTGTATAGTATGGTGCAGAGCCAACTCGCAGGGTGGTTGTGAGATGGCTTGTAAGGGATGCACTAGTGCCTGGTGTGATGTGACTAAAGCCTATAGGCTTCCTAACTCTGGTTTGGCTAATACATATGAGAGGGTCTTGCATATTTGTTTTGTCAAATGTGCAAGGACTTGCCTCCTACACAGTGCACTTGAGGAGTTCTACAGCCTGTTGTGAAGATGTGCGAAGTTGTCACTACCATCGTAACCTATGACTCAAGATGAGTAGTTCATACCATCTCAATGCGAGACAGGCAACAGCCACCCCAAGGCAAGCCCCTAAGCTGGCAGGCACTCAGCCTCCGGAGTGGGAGATGGGTGTGGTGACAAAGGTGCCGTTCTTGAGCTCACTCACAAACTGCTCCGGTAGCGCATGCTCCACCTGGCAGGAAGGTCGTGAGGGGAGGGGAGAGAGGGGAGGAGAGGTGGTTAGCGATGCAGCATGCTGCATGTGACTCACTCTCTGCTGTGAGGGGCATGGGTGTGGTGAGCGAAGCACATGTTTGAGCTCACTCCCAGACTGCTCTCGAGGGGCATGCTACACCTGCCAGCCAAGAGGGTCTAGAGGGAATGTGGGAGGGGACATGAGAGGGAAAGGGTTGCAACACAGGCTGTGGTTCGTTCTGTGGTGAGGGGCGCATGGGTGTGGTGCCCAAGCACGTTCTTGAGCTCGTTCTGGCTGCCAGGAGGGTACGAGGGAACACTCCCCCCATCCTGCCACACTCCCCCCCATCCTGCCACACTCCCATTCCACACTTCCCCAACCATTTCCGCACTCTTCCTCCCATTTCCTCCACCATCCCCTATTTCCCTCACCACCCCTACACATTTTTCCACACCCCCACCTCCCCTCCCTCATATCCTACCCAGGGAGTCTCAGCATCAAGCCCGCGCACGAGCATGTTGATCTCCGATGACTTGACGGTCGTGATCGCCGCTGCCAGCAATCCTCCTGATTCGCGTCACCACCCTACCCATGTCCCTCACCACCCCTACCCATGTCCCTCACCACCCCTACCCACTTGTCCGCGCCATCCCTGCCTACCCAGGGAGTCTCAGCATCGGGGCCGGGCACGAGCACGTTGATCTCGGACGACTTGGCCGTGGTGATGGCGGCGGCCAGCGCCGTGGCAGCGAGGTACAGCTGGCAGCCGCTCGTGTTGTCCACTGCCAGCGTGGGCGCCGTGCCCTCGCACTGGATCTCCACGCCACTGCAGTTCACCACCTCACACGCCGCCAGCACGTCCTGATGGGGGATAGGGGCGGGGCGAGGGAGCGAGGGAGGGAGGAGGGAGGGAGGAGGGAGGGAGGAGGGAGGGAGGAGGGAGGGAGGAGGGAGGGAGGAGGGAGGGAGGAGGGAGGGAGGAGGGAGGGAGGAGGGAGGGAGGAGGGAGGGAGGAGGGAGGGAGGAGGGAGGGAGGAGGGAGGGAGGAGGGAGGGAGGAGGGAGGGAGGAGGCTGGGAGATGAGCGATATGGGCAGGAAGGGCATTCAGGCAGAGCCCTGGCACTGCACCTCCACGCGAGTGAAGTTGACCAGGTCACACGCAGCTAGCACGCCCTTGTGGGGGATCAGGGAGGGAAAAGATGTGTGTGATGGGGGCGAGGGACGAGCGATAGAGGCAGCAGGGAAGGGTGGAACAAAGGTGGAGATGTGACACTGTATCCGCACGCCACCGCAAGTGACCAGGTCACACACTGCCAGCACACCACAAGTGACCAGGTCACACGCTGCCAGCACACCGCAAGTGACCAGGTCACACGCTGCCAGCACACCGCAAGTGACCAGGTCACACGCTGCCAGCACACCGCAAGTGACCAGGTCACACGCTGCCAGCACACCGCAAGTGACCAGGTCACACGCTGCCAGCACACCGCAAGTGACCAGGTCACACGCTGCCAGCACACCGCAAGTGACCAGGTCACACGCTGCCAGCACACCGCAAGTGACCAGGTCACACGCTGCCAGCACACCGCAAGTGACCAGGTCACACGCTGCCAGCACACCGCAAGTGACCAGGTCACACGCTGCCAGCACACCGCAAGTGACCAGGTCACACGCTGCCAGCACACCGCAAGTGACCAGGTCACACGCTGCCAGCACACCGCAAGTGACCAGGTCACACGCTGCCAGCACACCGCAAGTGACCAGGTCACACGCTGCCAGCACACCGCAAGTGACCAGGTCACACGCTGCCAGCACACCGCAAGTGACCAGGTCACACGCTGCCAGCACACCGCAAGTGACCAGGTCACACGCTGCCAGCACACCGCAAGTGACCAGGTCACACGCTGCCAGCACACCGCAAGTGACCAGGTCACACGCTGCCAGCACACCGCAAGTGACCAGGTCACACGCTGCCAGCACACCGCAAGTGACCAGGTCACACGCTGCCAGCACACCGCAAGTGACCAGGTCACACGCTGCCAGCACACCGCAAGTGACCAGGTCACACGCTGCCAGCACACCGCAAGTGACCAGGTCACACGCTGCCAGCACACCGCAAGTGACCAGGTCACACGCTGCCAGCACACCGCAAGTGACCAGGTCACACGCTGCCAGCACACCGCAAGTGACCAGGTCACACGCTGCCAGCACACATGAGGGTTGATTCAACGGGAGAAGCATTAGCCAAGCAGAAGCTGCCGTACAAAGGATTGCACACCAACTCATCACTGGAAAAGGCCTCCACTAACACCAGTGGCCGCACCTGAGCCCATCTGAGCCTTACATGCGACCATCACAGCTCACCTACGCCCATCTGGGCACTGCCTGACCCCACCTGAGCCCACCTGAGCCCCATCTGAAGCCCACCTGAGCCCCACCTGAAGCCCACCTGAGCCCACCTGAGCCTCACCTGGAAGACGACAGCGGTCTTGGTGCACTTGTCTAGCGTGATGTTGTTCACCTTGCCTGGTGGCACGCGCATGGGTGCCATGGCATGGGGGACAGGGGGCATGGGAAGAGGGGTTACGGGCGAGAGGGGGCATGGGGGGAGGGGGCATGGGGGGAGGGGGCATGGGGGAGAGGGGGCATGGGGGAGAGGGGGCATGGGGGAGAGGGGGCATGGGGGAGAGGGGGCATGGGGGAGAGGGGGCATGGGGGAGAGGGGCATGGGGTAGAGGGGGCATGGGGGAGGGGGGCAAAAGGTGTAGGACTGAGTGTGGTGGAAAACGGGTGGATCGAGAGATGATGCCGGGGCGGATGAGCACATGAATACATGAGCACTCGTGTGTAGACGGGTGGAGGAAATGGGTGGAGATGGGTGGAGGAGATGGGTAAAGATGGCAGATGCGAGCAAGAGAAACTTGACTAAGGGGCTGCATCAGGAGTTGTTGTGCACCAGGGTGAGAAGCCATGCTCATTCTGCACGCCCCTCACCCTAGGGTCGCCTGGCCTCACTCACCTTTGACCTGCACGACGGTGCCCTTGCAGCCGAAGATGTAGACGGTCTGCTTGGGCTCCGTGTCCGTGATGACCACCTCCTTGTTGTCCACCTGGTTCTCCACCACCCACCTGCCCCCCGCTCACGCGCACAGCCACGCACACATGCAGCGCAACACGCATTTTTAGAGCAAGATGCGATGGTTAGAGGCAGGCAGAGAGCAGGCCAGCACTCGCAAGACCACAAGCATCGCCTGTCAGTGCAATCGTATGCTATCATCACGTTCTTGTTGTCCACCCGGTTCCCCACCACCCACCTGCCATGCCCATGCCCATGCCCACACGTACAGCAGGCATGCAGAATGGACAGCACACGCATTGCCCGTGCTCACTTGCACCCAACTCAACCATGCTCACTGGCGCCCCCATGCGCATGCTCACTTGCGGCCTTGCTGCAGCTCGAACTTGGGAGGCTTCACCACAGCTGGCTTGGCAGCAGTGGAGGCGCCTGCTGACGTGGCCTTGCTGCCGCCTATGCTGGCAGGCACGGCCCCCGAGCGGTCGGTGCGGTTCTTGGTCTTCATGTCTGCTGTGACCTTGCGCAGCCCTGCATGGGGCGGGTGACGGGGAGAGGAAGGCAGGCATATGCATCTCGTGAGCAGTCCGAGTGGTTACTTGCCTTCACCTCACCTGTCTCCTGCCACAACTCTGCTCACATCTTCCCGTCCATCCATCCGTGTCGTGTGCCCATTTCTCCATTTTCCCACCCAATCTGTCAAGTTATTTTGTCCCGACGTCCATTGTTCATCCGCATCTCCATCTTCCGCTGCCTCACCCCCCACCACCTCTCTCCCCATCCTGCCGTCCCTCACCTGCAGTAACGGCCCCTCACCTGCCATCCCTCACCTGCAGTAACGGCCCCTCACCTGCCATCCCTCACCTGCAGTGACGGCCTCGCCCTTGTTGAGCTCGGAAAACACTTTCGACATGTCCGCGCCCCCACCCCCTCACCTGCTCCCCACCCCCTCACCTGCTCCCCACCCCCTCACCTGCTCCCCGGCCCTTCACCTGCAGTGACGGCCTCGCCCTTGTTCAGCTCGGAAAACACTTTCGACATGTCCGCGCCCCCGCCCCCGCCCCCTCCGCCCCCTCCGCCCGCTGACGCAGCCGGGGGCGGAGGCGGGGGAGGGGCCCCGCGCGGAGGCGGCGGGGGTCCTCCGCGGGGTGGAGCTGGGGCGGCGGAGGGGGCGGAGGAGAGGTAGGCGGGGAGGTCGAGGCCTGAGGCGGACCAGGAGGGCCCGGTGAGGTGGAACTTCTTAATGTACTCCTTTAATCCCACCATGTACAGCTCCTTTAGCGCCCTCGCCCACTCCACGTGCGCTTCTCCCCCCTCCGTGTTGCGATACGTGGAGAGGATCTGGCGGAGGGAGAGGGGAAGGGGAGGGGAAGGGGAGCAAGTGGGGGGGAGGGAGAGGGGAAGGAGGAGGGGAAGGGGAGCAAGTGGGGGGGAGGGAGAGGGGAAGGAGGAGGGGGAGAGGGAAAGGGAGGGGAAAGGATACAATGATAAGGAGGGACGAAGGTCGAGAGAAGCGTTGAGATGTGGTCGGGAGAGGAGACGGAGAGGCATTAGTGAAAAAGCGGAGTGGGAGGGGGAAGAGTGGGGGGAGGGAAAAAGGGGTGGGGAAGTGTGAGATGCAGACGGCGGGAGGGGAGACGACGAGGGGTGGGGAACGGAAGGAGGAGGAACGAAGGGAGAGCAAAGTAAACGGAGACGAGAAGAAGAAGGGGTGTGTAGCAGCAAGACGTGGCAGCACCTTATTGGTGTAGAACTCAGCAGCAGGCCAGGTCTCGTCAATGTGTGGGCCGGGGAGACTCATGCCTGGCGGAGGGGGAATGGCGGGTGGAGGGAGGGGGAATGGCGGGTGGAGGGAGGGGGAATGGCGGGTGGAGGGAGGGGGAATGGCGGGTGGCGGGAGGGGGATGGCGGTGGGCGGAAGGGGGACGGGGGATGGGAGATGGCGGAGGGATGGAAGCAGAGGGGAAGGAAGAGGCGCGAGGGAGGAGTCGTGAGGATTGGGAGGCAAGGAGGCACGATGGCGGGACGTGGGGAACAGCTCGTGGGGCGGGCAACTCGGAACAGCATGAGGGCGGGCAGTGGGCGCGCAGTAGCCCATGAGAGCCCATGAGAGCCCATGAGAGCCCATGAGAGCCCATGAGAGCCCATGTCCTTCGACTCTCAACAGGCGAAAATCGGCGCACAACGAATGGCGAGTCACCATGACAAGTGGTGCGTCACCCTAAACCCAGAGTGCGCCAACTTCTCTCCCCCCTTCCCCCTACCACACTCCTTCCCCATACCCCCTCTCCCCTCCTCCCTCTCCCCGTACCACAGTCCTTGCCCTCCCTCCATACCATACTCCTCTCCCTTTCCTTCCCCCTCCCTCTCCCCCACACACACACCCACCAACACTCAACACTGCCCCCGTAACGCAGTTTTTGCCCTCCGCCCATACCGCATTTCCCCCTCGTCCCTCTTCCCCCTTTCCGCGCGCCCCCGTACCCCAGGCGTCAACCCTCCTCCTTCGTACCGCAGTCCTTGCCGGAGTAAGCGACCCACGTGAGCGCGGCGACGCTCTCGGCGACGGCCTTCACGTGGTTGTACGCGTCCGTGCGCTTCCCCTCCGTCAGCTTCCCCGCCGCCGCCATCGCCGCTCCCAGCGGCTCCAGCAGCTTCGGCAGCGCTGACGTGTCGGGCTTCTGGATAGGGCGAGCGGCAGAATGGGGGAGGTGGGGGGTGAGAAGGAGAAAGAATGGGGGAGATGGGGTGGGGTAGGGGGACCCATGATGGGGGAAACATAGAGGGTAAAAAATGCTGACCGGAAGTGGTGGAGGAAACGGAATGCGGGATGATCGGTTTTTTCTGGAAGGGGTTTCTGGGGGAGTCCGGTGATGTGAGTCATTTGCGGAAAGCACTGCTCTCAGTTCTGGGCACGGGACGGAAGGCCAGCATATTTCCACGAGTGTCACATTCCTATCGTCCTCCGGATCCGGTCCAGATCCATGGAGATCATGCACGAATGCAGACGCGCGCCGCGCGAAACAGACACAGGCACCGAACGACGGAACAACCAAAGCAAAGCCCCCACCTTGCAGGCCGCGATGGCCGCGACGATCTTCTTCTCCGCCTCGAACGCTTCCGCCAGCGCCTTGGTCGCCGCAGTCACTTCCGCGCTGCCGACCTTCTCAGCGGCCGCCGTCACTTTTTGCAGATTCGCCGTCAGGATCGCGTCGAACGCAACCACTGACGGGTGATCGCTGGCCGCTGCAGACGCGGACGCGGCGGGAGCTGACGTGGCGGTGGAGGATTGGGAGGGAAGCGAGGCCTCGAGGCGGGCGACTGCCGCTTCGAGGCGCGCGACGAGGACGTCCATCGACATCGCCATTCGCTGTTGGGGCACGCGACACCGCGGATGCGCGCAATGCGGAAAACCGAAGAACGTAAGCAGGCAGACTGGTGTGAAAATGTAGTTTTTGAGACGTCAAGAGAAATGGATGGAAAAATGTGTGGGTAGCTATTAATGTGGAGATTCCGAAAAACGGATTTCTCAAGGCCAATGAATCCTGGTTGTAGGAAATGGAATGGAGCTCTCTAGGTGGTTCTGACGCGGGCGGGGAGACTCTGGCGGATTCGGGGAAGAAAGCTGCCGCGGAAGCAAATCTGGTTCGGAGAATGCCATATTTTGGTGGCTTCGTTTTCGGTATGGGTCAGGGAGGGAGCCCTAGTCTGGAACGCGCGGGTGGCTCGGAAGAAAATTCTCAGTGGTGGAGAAAACGCTTTCCACAATGCGGCGGGCGGGATAAAAATCGAGGGTGCCACGGACGCTGCAGGCAGAGCGATCTTCACAGTTGCGGAAGCATACTGGCTTGGTATGGGAGCTGGTTTCGTGATTTGGTTCGGAGGTTGTGCAGAACGCGGGGGCGTGCCGCGAGGTTATTTTGCATTCGCGACAGCTTCAGCTGGAAACCAAAGCTCGACGAATAGCTGGCGAGCATGCTAGCGAGCAGATCTATTTCCTTTCTGTAGTGTGTCACGTTTGTGCTCGGTCTGTAACGTTTCAAACCGATAGTGTGCGAAGAGTGAGGAGGACCCCAAATGAACAGCATGGATGGGAGTACGATTTGATCCTCCCCTCTTGTATTTATTTTTTAATCAAGAATCTTACGTCTTCTCTAGCGATTTCCGTTGCACGGTTCTTTGTCTCCAAAATGGACGATCCCGAGGTGTTGCTGCCGTCGATCGAGCGGCGAACGAAGCAGCTGCGGCAGCAGGAGCAGATGCTGCGGGAAGCCGTGACGGCCGCGTCGCGCAGGAAGGAGACGAGCGCAGCGGCGCTCAGGTCCGCCGAAGACGCGCACCAGCATCTGCTGCGCGATCGATTCCCCGCGCTCAACGCGCAGGTGTGATTCGCACGCGTGTTAAGATGTCAACGCTCGTTAGATTCGCTCAAACTGCGACAGGTGACGGTCCGCGTCAGTCGAGCAGCACCGTTGCGCCGATGAGAATCCGCGTGAGCTCGTGCTCGCGCGTGTCTCGTTGCAACTGGCGTCTTGCCTAGTCCTCACCCCTCGCAGCAGTGTTCCTTGATTTCCTCCGCCGGCAGGTGAATGCGCAGCTCGACGCCATGGCCGCCCATGCCGCCGCCATCGCCGCCTTCCTCTCCCCCGCGCGTGAGTCGCCCCTCCTCTCCCCCTCGCGTGTAGATCACGTCCTCTAGGACAGCCCCACTCCCGTAACCATCCAGTAGTCCCCTCTCTTGATCCACATCCCTGGGCTAGTGTCTTTTCCTTGTGCTCTGGGACTGCAGCGCTGTTGCTACCCTCTCCGTGCATCCCTCGTCACCCACAACAGGCCCGGGATCACTGGCGATGGTGGCGGGGGTGGAGCCGCTGCTGGAGGCGCAGGAGGAGGTGGCGCTGCAGCACGAGGTGTGGAAGCGACGCCAGTTCGATGAGGTGCGTGGTGGGCGCTGGACACAGGGAGGGGTCTGGATGCGATGCGAGAGGTGGCGGGCGATGGGGGAGAATGAACGGCCTCTTTAGGCGCATGAGGGGCCGGTGCTGCATCACCAAGTGTGGGAGCGACGGCAGTATGATGCGGTGGGTGGTGGGCATAGCGAGGGGAAATGGGTGGTATGCGAGCCGGGAAATGAGGTGAGGAGGTGAGGCTAGGGGGGTGGATGAGTGAGGGGAGGCAGCACAGCATGCTTCGCGCGTGAACCCTCAGCTATTCCCTGTTTCACTCTTTTTGCCGAGTCCACTCAACTCGAAATCATCTGCCTCATATGCGTCATCCTTCCCTTTATCCCTCGTGGCGTGGGAGTGGCGATACAGGGGCCGTCCCGGGCGGTGGCGTTGGAGGGGTTGGGTTTGTACTTGCCGTGTGACCTCAACGACCTGGATGCTGCCGTCATTGCGGGGGACCATGGGGCTTCCATCGACACGCCAGGTGAGCCCCTGCTGCTGCTGGCCCTGCCTTCCCGAGAGAGGGAGTTCTGTCTGGTGCTCAGCCCCTGCTGCTGCTGCTTGCCTGAGGTGCAATGCAATCATGCGCATGCACAGTGCCTCTCGCATTCCTGGCTCTGGCGTGTCACAGTCTCAGCTCGCTCATTTGACCAAAGGGTGTCTCTCGTTTGATCCCGCACTAGGCCTCGCTCCCTCCCACCACCACCCACCATTCCCCTTCTTCTCCCATCTGGCGCCGCCCACTGCCCGTCCCACAGACGCCATCTATCGGTGCAACATCAGGGAGCTCAAACACGTGCATGACCTGTGGGTGCCAGCATGCCATGTGATGTCATGGATGGCGTGTCGTGATGTGATGTGTCGTGATGTGTCGTGATGTGATGTGATGTGACGTAATGTGATGTGATGTGATGTGATGTGATGTGATGTGATGCGATGTCATGTCATGTCATGTATGTGATGTCATCTCATGTCATGTCATGTCATGTCATTTCATGATGTTCAATGAACTTCAAGGGATGATTTGTATCTTTCTCTCTCTCCCTCCTACCCCTTCCTCTCTTGCCTGTCCCCTTGCTCCCCGTCCTTTCAACCCCTTGCTCATCCACCTACCGTCCCCGTCGCTGTCATGCCCAACAGGGCGGGGGAGGCGGAGCAGCGTTACGTGGCAGCCATGGTGGACGAGGCTCGCTGGACTGCCAGGGGGAGGGCGCTGGGCAGGTGAGTCAATGGGGGGAGGGCGCTGGGCAGGTGAGTCAATGGGGGGGGCAGAGGTGAGAGCGGCACACGACCTGGGGAGAGCGGCACACGACCTGGGGAGAGCGGCACACGACCTGGGGAGAGCGCTGGGGGATGGGGAGAGCGCTGGGGGATGGGGAGAGCGCTGGGGGATGGGGAGAGCGCTGGGGGATGGGGAGAGCGCTGGGGGATGGGGAGAGCGCTGGGGGATGGGGAGAGCGCTGGGGGATGGGGAGAGCGCTGGGGGATGGGGAGAGCGCTGGGGGATGGGTGGACGGGGGGAGGCGGGTGCTTGGGATGGGTGGTGAGGGACGTTCAGGGAACGGCGGGGTTTGGGCATGGTGTGAAAGGGTGCCTGCATGTGTGTATGGTTGCATGTGCATGTACATTCTCTCGTCTCATCCCACTCGCTTTTCTATAACCCCACACCCCCTCCCTCTTCCCTCCTCTCACCCCACTCCCCTCCCATTGCTTGCCTCCTTGACTCTCTTCCGCCCCCTTCTCTCCCCTCCGCCCCCTTCTCTCCCCTCCGCCCCCTTCTCTCCCCTCCGCCCATGGCAGCAGCAGCAGTGGCGGCAGCAGCAAGGGAACGGCAGGGGGTGCGGGGCAGGGGGGGGCGGGGGGGGCGGGGGGGGCGGAGGAGAGGAGGCGGAGGAGGCGGCTGGAGGAGGTGCGGGCAGAGGTGGCACGTGCCAGAGGCGTGGTGAGATGGGGGGGGAGATGGGGAGGGGGAAGGGAGGAGTTGGGGAAATCAGTCCTGGGGAGAGATCTGTGAAAGAGAGGGGGTAAGTAAGGGGATGGGAGGAAGAGGGTGTGGGAAGATAGTTAACATGTGCTCATGCTTGCTGCTTGCTGCTTGCTGCTTGCTGCTTGCTGCGTGCTGCTTGCTGCTTGCTGCTTGCTGCTTGCTGCTTGCTGCTTGCTGCTTGCTGCTTGCTGCGTGCTGCTTGCTGCTTGCTGCTTGCTGCTTGCTGCTTGCTGCTTGCTGCTTGCTGCTTGCTGCTTGCTGCTTGCTGCTTGCTGCATGCTGCTTGCTGCTTGCTGCTTGCTGCTTGCTGCTTGCTGCTTGCTGCTTGCTGCGTGCTGCTTGCTGCTTGCTGCTTGCTGCGTGCTGCTTGCTACTTGCTGCTTGCTGCGTGCTGCTTGCTGCTTGCTGCTTGCTGCTTGCTGCTTGCGCTCTCTCAATACTCCTCACGTGCACCCTCTTCTCATGGCATGGCACCACGTGGCAATGCATGGCATGGCATGGCATTGCATGGCATGGCATGGCATGGCATGGCATGGTGCATGCATGCAGGTGAGCAAGCTGTGCAAGGAGAAGGCACGCCTACAAGACGCCATGGTGTACGCTGGTAATGCCACCCACCCCTCGCCACCATGCACTGCCCCTGCTACCCGCCACTGCCCCTGCTACCCGCCACTGCCCCCCTCTGCCCATCCGCACCTCCTGCCACCGTCCTCTACGCCACTGCCGCCCACTGCCCTTGCCCACCTGCTCTCTGCCTCTCCCCATGGCACCGCCTCTCACTGTGCGAGGGTTATTCGCAAGTGCCAGTACTGCTGTGATGCATTGCTGCTTGCTTGCCCCTCAGCTGCCGCCGCCCCCTTTATTATGCACCCCTCACTCCTCCCTGCCGCTCACCCATGTTCCCCCCACCCACCCGCCCACCCGCGCAGGAGACTACGAGCTCAAGATGCAGAGGCAGCGCTTCTACCTCGCCAAGATGCACCAGGTGCTGCTCTAGGGCTGTGACAGAGATGCACGAGGGCACCGGAACACGTGAAAGATTGCTGACTGGGGCAAAGAGCGTGGCAGTGACGCAACAAGTAGGAAAGAACATGATTTGACGTACAATGAAAGAAGACGGTTCTGTCTTGCATTTATTACTTGTATCACCGCTCACTCATCTCTTTCCCCGCCCACCTAATCTCACTGCATCCACGTGGCTTGCAGCTGCTGACTCAGCAGTACTGGCAGCTGGCTGTCAACGTGGCACTGCATGGAGCCGTCCTATTGGACGCGCACCACCTGGAGCGCACCTGGCAGCTGCTGCTCCAATTACATTGCGACACGTCAGCAGCTATCAGTGACTCTGAAACCCGCAAGGTGAGTGTTCTTGCGAGGGGCGTGTGAGTGCGAAGCAGAGGGGGAGCAGGGGGGGTACCATGATACGTATGCTGCACAGTTTAAGAACGGTTGGATGCCATGTTGTTTTCTCATTCCCTCCCTCTCCCACCGTTTCACCCCCTGCAACTCTGCTCATTCACCCCCTCCTCCCTCCTCCCCACCCACCCCTCTCCACCCCATGCCCCTGCAGGCGGCTTACAAAGCTCTTGCCTCACAAGCCACTGCCCCCACTGCCCCCACCGCCCCAACATCCTTCTCCTCCTCCCAGTTCCCGCCCCCCTCCTCCTCCCTCCCCCTCCCAGCCTCCTCCCCCCTGTGGCCCGCCCTGCTCTCCGCCCTCTCCCCCCCCGCTGCTCAAGGGGAGCCACTCGGGGCAGCAGGGGGGGGAGTCGCGCAGGCAGCAGGGGGAAGGGAGGGGGAGAGTGGGGGGGAGGTGGTGGAGCGGCTGGTGGAGGGGCTGAGGGGGAGGGCGCAGGGGGAGGGGGAGCGGGTGCAGCAGGGGGTGGAGCAGAGTGAGCGGCTGCTGGCACACATGTGAGTGGCGCTGGCAGAGAGGGATTGTGAGGGGTTACAGTGGTGGGAGGTGGTACCCAATCGATTTCCATCTCAATTGCTGCACCGTCGGTTCGTCTCATCTTTCGTTCTGCACCCACCTCTGCCCTTCAGTTTCTTCCCTCCCGTCTCTTCCCACGGGCCTCTGCCGCCCTGTGCGCCCCGCGGGTGACACAGGGCGGGCATGCAGGCGGCCATGGTGGAGCTGCTCTCATCGCCGCATGCCACTCCCTCCTCCACCGCCGCTCATGCCATGCCGCTGCACCTCTCGCCCCCTGTAAGTCTCTGCAGCACTCTGTGGGACTCTGCAGCACCCCCCTGTGGGCCTCTGTCCCCCCCAAACCCCCAACTATCGTTTAAAGTGGAGCCCTCCTCGCTGCTCCCATGCCCCTCGCTTGCCCTTGAGTTTCTCCGCGAGGGCAGATGGAAACGCGCACTGTGTGCCCTTGCATCCTCCTCTGCTGCTCCCCTTCCTACCTCCATATGCACCATCACCCCAAATATCCCCCCCTTGCCACGTCACCCTCCCCACCTCCGCCCGTTCCCAAGGCTCTCGTGGACGAGCGGCTGCGAGTGGAACGCCAGCTCAGCGATGATGTGGCACCGGCGATTGACAGGCTGGCAGACGAGTGGCAGACAACCCAGAGGGTGAGCTGAGCTGTCACATCCTGTACCATGCCATGCCGTGACCATGCTGGGTCATGCTGGTCCGTCCCATGCATGTCCGTTCTCTAATGGACCATATTGAGTGTTTCTTGCTCTCTTCCGTCCTCCCATCCTCTCTCCCCTCCCCTCGTCCCTCCCGTCCCCCCTCCCCTCACCCAAATGCCACGCCTCAACATACAGCTTCATCCACACGCAATTGCTGCAGCCTCTTCTCATTCCCCTTTCCCCCCACTCCCCACCGTCCCTCACTGCACCCCTTCGAAAGCGCCATGCACTCTCAAGCCATGCACCGTGCAGCTGCAAGCCGCGCCTCACTTCCCCCCATCCCCCCCTTGCCCCTCCCTGCCCCCCCTCAGAGCGCGGTGCACGCGCCAAGGCATGGCATCCGCCAGCGACTGCTGCACTCCTTCTTCTCCCCGGCCGCCCTGCCCCGCGCACTGCTGCACGCGCACTCCGCTCAGGGCGCAGGGGGCGAGGGGGCGCGGACCGAGGGGGCAGGGCGCGAGGCTCGAGAGGCGCAAGGCGGGATGCATGGGCAGGAGAGGGAGAGCAGGGGGGGTGGTGGCGAGGGCAGTGGCATGGGCATGAGCATGGGCATGAACGATGGTGGGGGCAGGGGTGAGTGCATGGGCATGCAGTGTGGGATGCATGTGGGGATGGGGATGGGCATGGAGGAGGACGATGACAGCTTCATTTTCTAATTGCCACACCACGCCACACCATACCATACCATGCCATGTGCGCATGAGAGGCAGCAGGGTGGGCTGGGTAGTGGGCACCTAACCATCCTCCATGACCTCGCTTGTAACTTCCATGTTGCAGTGATGAAGATGCATTCCTGTTCTCGCTCGTCATCCGTGCTCTATACATTTAGGGTTTATGCAAATATGATGGAAAATAGTCCAACCAGCACAACACAAGATTACAAGAATACAAATTAGGGCCATATGGGCTAAACAAAGCAATACACAAGCATAGCAAATCGAATTGTATTCGGCACAGGCTCACTGTGAGCTCAAGCAGCGAGCTCTCAAGCGTCACGGCGTGGTGGTCGCTGTGGGTGCTCCACACCACACACTGCTGCACCCGCTGCTGCTGGGGCAGTGCTGGTGGGGATGCTGGCAGCGCCTGCTGCCGGCCCCGGGATCACTGCTGGTGCATCTGTGCTTCCTCAGCCTGCTGCCGCAGCTCCCAATGCTACTGCTGCTGCTGCTGCTCCTGCTGCCGCTGCTCTTGCTGCTACTGCTGCTGCTGCTGCTGCTGCTGTGACATCCCTGCACTGCTGCTCCTGCTGGCAGCAGCCTGCACTGCACAACTCAACAGCTCTGAAGAGGTCGTTGACATGGATGGGCTGGGCAATGAGACCCTCCATGCGCGCTGCCTGTCATGCACCGCACGCGGTGTGTGTCCAACACGTTGGCCGTGAGATGGACGATAGGCCCTGCCCCAATGGCCGTCATCACTCTGCTTGCGTGTATCGTTGCTGCTGCCACTGCTGCCGCTGCTGCCAGCCTGCCGTTCCAGCTGCTGCTGCTGCTGCTGGATCCTCTGCTCCCTTAGCTCTCTCCCTGCTCCTTCCCCTCCTGCTGCTGTTGTTGCTGCTCCTGCTGGCGGCGGCGGGAACTGCCGAACTCAACGGCGCGGATGAGGTCGTTGACATGGATGGGCTTGGCAATAAAGCCCTCCATGCCCGCCGCCAGGCACCGCACGCGGTCCGTCTCCAGCACGTTGGCCGTGAGGGCGAAGATGGGCGGGCGCGGGCAGGCAGGGCGCCACAGCGGCCAGTGCGCCACGATGCGCCGCGTGGCCTCTATGCCGTCCAGCTCTGGCATCTGGCAGGGGACGAGGGGAGGACGATGGGACGATTGAATTGAGGTGCCTGATATTGCCATGCGCACTGGCATCTGCAAGGAGGTGGGTAGCGAGGTATAAGCACGAGGTGGAAGGCACATGGCTTGGGGCCATGCATGCAGATACATGTGCACACACTCGATGATTGATACATACATACATACATGCAAACCCACAGGCGTGAGTGCACACAGGCGCATGCCCTGTCACCGACCTGCAGAGCACACCTGCACCGCATTGAACGACTCACCTGCACGTCCATGAGCACACCTGCACCGCATTGAACGACTCACCTGCACGTCCATGAGCACACCTGCACCGCATTGATCGACTCACCTGCACGTCCATGAGCACACCTGCACGTCCATGAGCACACCTGCACCGCATTGAACGACTCACCTGCACGTCCATGAGCACACCTGCACCGCATTGAGCGACTCACCTGCACGTCCATGAGCACACCTGCACCGCATTGAACCACTGACCTGCACGTCCATGAGCACAAGGTCGAAGGGGTGCGCCTGCAGGCGGTGGATGGCCTCGTGGCCGTTGTTGGCGACGGTGCAGTCGTACCCCATGCGCGCCAGCATCTTGGTTGCCACCTTCTGATTCACCACGTTGTCCTCCCTGCTCGCATGCCATGCACGCACACCGGTTGTGGGGCGACAGGCAGAGGGAGAGTGGAGAGAGGAAGAGAGGGAGAGGATAGAGGAGAGAGGAAGAGAGGGAGAGGAAGAGAGGGAGAGGGAGAGATGAGAGAGGAGGGAGGGAGAGGGAGTAGCAGAGGTGCGGAATAATGAAGTGCACTGGCAAGTGCCGCCATCAACCTCTTGCTGCCAGGGCACTGCTTCGCAGGTTGGGCCATGCCACAGGCACATGCATCAAGTATACAAAAAGGACTTGTCACTAGTGACATGCTATGCCATGCCAACCCAGGCCAACCGCACATCACCCTCGCAACCCAATGCCACCATGGCACCCCATGCCCCACCCCATGCCCCACCCCATGCCCCACCCCATGCCCCACCCCGTGCCCCACCCCGTGCCCCACCCCATGCCACCCCACGTCACCCCGCAGCACATCACCCATGGCACGTACGCAAGCAGTATGCGGAGGGGGTGTGCCTCCGCCAGGCCCACTCTGAACCCCGCTCGCTCCGCTCCGCACTTCCCTGCTCCACCTGCCCCTCTCACCGCCCCATCCGCCACCGCCTTGGCTCCGCCTGGCATCACCCCCTTCACTGCACCAGCCGCCCCTCCCTTTGCTGCGCCATGTGCATCCTCTTCCACTGCATCCTCTTCCACTGCATCCCCCATATCCCTTCTCCCTCTCCTCATACCCCCTGCGTGCTCTCCTCTCTCCCCCCTTCGTGCCACCTTACCACCCCCATGACAACTCCCATCAGATACCTCACAACACCGCCCACTCCCCTCCTGCTCCTCTCCCCTTCCGAATCCCAACCCCTCCCCTTCCTCTCCTCCCCCCTCCCCCCGTTCCTCTCTCCCCGCACTGCACTCCCCCTCTGGCGCCTCTTCTTCAACCATGCTGCTAGGCTCGGCAACAGGTTGGGTGGCAGGCTCGGAGGAGGCAGGGTTGGCAGGAAGAGGGGGGCGGGATGGGAATCGGGGTAGTGGCGGGGGGAAGAGCGCGGAGAGGAGGCGGTTGAGGGCGATCTGGCGCACTGGGCGGGGCAGCGCCGCCACCTGCACTCCTGGTAGGTGGGGCAGCTGGGGCGTTGAAAGGGGAGGGGTGGAGGAGAGGGGAGGAGGGGGAGAGGGGGAGAGGGGAAGAAGGGGAGAGGGGGAGAGGGGGAGAGGGTGGAGAGGGGAGAGTGGGGAGAGAGGGGAGAGTATGGGGAGCGATAAAAAGATGGAAATGAGAGGGTGGCAGGAGGGCAACACAAGACGGATACCTCGAGGAGGAGAACAGCGGAAGGCACGCAAGAGCGACGTACCTGCACGTTGCCGGAGTAGGGCGTCAGCACCACCACCTTCATGCCCCCTCTCTCGCCCTCGCCGCCCCGCCTGCTGCAGCACTGCCCGCCACCACACTCCCCCGCCGGCCTGCTGCTGCAGTGCTGAGCTGGTAGCCACTCCAGCCGTGAGTCCACAACAATCAAATCAAATCCCCCACACAGCCTCTCGCATCTGCACCCTTGCTGCTCCTCTCCCATGCACTCGTCCCTCCGCTCCCCGTTCTCGTGCCCTCCCCGCATCCGTTCCCCCTCCACCTCCCCCATACCTGTCTCCCCGCTTCCGCCATCCCCTTTCATGCTGTCCCCCCGCTCCTCCCCACCTCCCCCAACCCTCTGCGACAGCAGCAGCGTGTCAGCCTCGTGCCCCCCGGCCACTGCGCTCACGCGCATGCCCAGCCCCTGCAGGTGCCTCGTCAGCATGCCACGTGTCGCTGCGTGCGCCACCACCACCATCGCCTGCCGCCCGCTGCACCGGGCGGCTGTCTCGTTCCACGCCGCCACCCACGCTGGTGGCTCTGCCAGCTGGGTGCCGCCAGCATCCCCATAAGCACGCACATGAGCCTGGGAGACGAACTCCACACTACGCCGCCTCTGCTGCTGCTGCTGCTGCTGCTGCTGCTGCTGCTGCTGCTGCTGCTGCTGCTGCTGCTGCTGCTGCTGCTGCTGCTGCTGCTGCTGCTGCCCGTCCTCCGTGGCCTGTGTCAGCATGTCTGCGCCGCCTCCACCTCCCTGCCCATGCGCCACACTCACCACCCACGCGCCATGCTCTCCCCCACCCGCGCCACCTGCCCCCACCAGCTCCACCCGCCTCAGCCCCACCTCCAGCGCGCCCACCTCCCCCTCCCCCCGCGCGCCCCCCAGTGCGCGCACGCCCGCCTCCCCCAGCGCGCCCTCCACGCGGCGGCGCTTGCCCGAGTCGATGAGCCACGCCGCCACACAGGGAGGCCGCCCGAGCGCGGGCACGGACGCACTGCGGACGAAGCGCCGTGCGGGGCGGAGGGCGGTTGAGGAGTCGCGCCCCCACTGCTCCCCACCCGTGCCGCTGCTGCTCATGTCCGTGTCCGTGTGGGTGCTGATGCTGGTGGCCCTGCTGGCCGTGGCGGCACGGCCGAAGAGCAGCTTGGGAGGGGTGGAGTCCGGTTCACGTGCGTGCTGGTCAGGCATGGCCTCAGAGGGGTCAGCATCCACCATGGCCGCCACACCCCGCCCCACACGTCCCCCCACAGACACCCCACGCGGGATGCAGGGCGGGCGGACGGGCAGCGCGAGCGCGGTGATGTAGAAGGAGAAGGTGGCGCCATGGCCCAGCCCGGCGCTCTCGGCCCAGATGCGGCCGCCCATGAGCTCCACCAGCTGCTGCGAGATGGCCAGTCCCAGCCCCGTGCCGCCGTATTGCCGCGTCGTGGACGCGTCCACCTGCGAGAACGGCTTGAACAGCCGGTCGTGGCGGTCCGCGGAGATCCCGATGCCCGTGTCGCGCACGCTCACCACCACGCGGTGCCACCGGTACCCCGCAGATAGCGCCTGCTCCACCTCGCCCGCCCCCAGGCCCCGCCCTGTGTCTCTCAGGCCCCGGCCGCCCCACCCGCCGCTGCTGCTGCCCGCCTGCTGCTGCTCCTGCTGCCCGTCGGCTGGGGCATCCGCGACCCCTCCCTGCGCGGGCGTGCAGGCAGCAGCGGGCTGGAGCAAGTCGGGGCGGTCCCCGAGGCAGTGAGCGGTGACGGAGACGTGCACGTCCCCGTGGTGGGTGAACTTGGTGGCGTTGGACACGATGTTCACCAGCACCTGCCGCAGCCGTGTGGCGTCGCTCCTCACCACGCGCGGCACGCTCTCGTCCACCTCGCTCACCAGCTCGATGCGCTTCTCCATGGCTCGCACCTGGGGGAAGACATTAGGGGGGGTGGCACATGGGCACATGGGCACATGGGAACATGGAAGCAGAGATGTGGCGGTGATGGTGCACGAGAACGCTGGACACACTGAATGGGTTACAACATTCAGGGGAAGAGAGGGGAATGCGTTCATGAGTGTGAACTAAGTCTAAAATCTGGCGCTCACAACAAGCTAGAAGATTGAGAAAAACCAAATGTGCATTCTCATATCAGTCTTTGGATTGGGGTAAAACAGGAGCGGCATCATGAAGTGTACAAGACACTTTCTAGGTCTTGGAGATTGGCTTCGGAGGTCAGTCGGAAGGCGGGCAAACATTCAAATCTCCAGCCACACTTCTTGTGGGCCTCCCGAACCGAGCTAAGGGGAAAAAGGGGCGAGCTTATTGGTTGTTGATTGACGATGAGATTCGTTGGCGAATCTCTGGGACCACGAACAACCTTATCCAAGCCTCGGGAACAAACTGGCCTCGAAGCGCTCAAGACCAAGGGCATCCGCATGTTGGGAATACCGCGAATTTCTTAAGCTAAAAGCGCAGGAAGGATTTCAACGTCACTGCTAAGGGCGTGTTACATTTTCGGTTTTTTTCCAAACGGACCGGACCGTCTGAACGGTTAAAATCGGTTTTTTTTTGTTAAACGCTCTGTTCAATTGGGTTTCAGTTTGTTTCAGAGTGGTTAATGTCCGGACCGTACGGAAAAATCGAAAATGTAACACGCCCTAAATCGGCATAAGCAGTCACGAGTCGAGAAGGCCATCATAGGCGCAGAGGGAGTTTTCGAGCGAGCTCGCACTGACCGCGAGCAGGTTGACGCTGTCCTCAACGCACGCGGTGACGTCGAAGTCGCGGTGCTCCATCTCCAGCTCGCCCGCCTCGATCTTGCTCAGATCCAGAATGTCGTTGATGATCGCCAGCAGCGCGTCGCCGCTGCTGCGAATCGTGTCCACGAACCCGTGCTGCTCCTCCGACAGCGGCGTCGACAGTAGCAGCCGCGTCATGCCTGGCGGCAACCATAGGAGGGCGTGAATGAGGATAGATTGAGGGTGATACGAGGGTCAAAGCCGGGTACCTGGAAGAACGAGAGAGTCCATGAGGAGAATGTGAGCACAAGGCTTGAGCGTGCGTGCAGCAGGCCGGGCTAGGGTTAGGCCATTCGCGCATGACGGACGACTCACCGAGCACGCCGTTCATGGGGGTGCGGATCTCGTGGCTCATGGACGCCAGGAACTGCGACTTGAGGCGGTTCGCGGACTCCGCCTCCATGCGCGCCTCGCGCAGCTCCGCCACCATGCGCTCCAGCACCGCCGACTGCTGCGATATGCGGCTGCGCGATTGCTCCAAGTCCTGCCACCTTGCGCGCACACGCGAGATCGGAACCGCAGGTGAGCGGAATCGGTACCAGTGGTTGGTACTGCAGCTGCTCGTCCGTCTCGTGCTCTGCGAAATTTCAGTAACGAAGGTGTTAGTGACTCTTAGCATGACCCGTGCCGCTCACCTCGATGCATCGCTGCAGGTGCTCCCTCGCGCGCAGATGCTCCTCGATCTCTCGCCGCAGCGCCTCGTTGCTGCGCTGCAGCTGCTCCGTGCGCTCCACGACGCGCTCCTCCAGCGCGGCGTTGAGCGCGCGGATCTCGCCCTCCTTGCGCTTCAGGTCGCTGATGTCCGCCGACACGCCGATCACCCCCACCAGCTGCCCCGCCGGGTCCAGAATCGGCGTGTCCGTCACCTGCGAATGGCGCGCGTTGGGGAGCAACCGGTAACGGGCAGCGGAGGGGCGTTTGTGGGAAGGCGGGTGGGGGGGATTAAGAAGGCGGAGATAGTGCGGAGTCATGGGTATTGGGGGGACTGTGGTATGAGATGTAGCGCGCAGCATCGCGCGGAAGATTAGCGCGCAGCATCGCGCGGAAGAGTAGCGCGCGCCATGGCGCGGAAGGGTAGCGCGCACAAAGGCGGGGAAGCGTAGCGCGCACCATGGCGGGGAAGGGCGAGCCGTCTCTGCGCCTGACGAGGAACTCGCCGGTCCACACCTCCCCCTTGCTGAGCGCGCCGAAGATCTCCTCCGCCTGCTGCACCGTCGTGTCCGCCGGCGTGATCTCCATGATTGGCCGCCCCACCGCCTCGCCCTCGTTCCACCCGTACATCATCTCCGCCGCCTTGTTCCTGCGGGGCACCGTGCCGAGCGCGTGACGGGGAGACAGGAGAGGCGGAAGAAGGCGAGCGCAGATTGAAGAATTGGGGGGAAAGGGGACTCAGTCAACCCAACCGCATTGAACCCACCAACAATCACCCATTTAATTCATCAGTTCAAGCCACGCCGGACCCTTCGATCGAGGCGTACCCCGGCCGCATTCTTAGACGCGTCGCGTTTGGACGCACCAGTAGGTGATGGTGCCGGCCAGGTCGGTGCAGATGACGGCCTGCCCCACCGACGCCAGCAGGTCCTTCTGGAATGCCACTGCCGGTCGCCGGGTAACAAGAGGGGGGATTGGTGGGGGGGGGGGGGGGGGGGGGTGCGGGGTGGGTGCGGTGTGGGACACACCCAAAACGTGCAGGTAAGCCCACCCGTGACGGGCGGGTAAGGCGGAACATCCCCAAGCAATGGGGTTGCGCGCGGCGAAAGAAAGCGGGTGACACGACGGGGGATTGAGTGCACGACTTTCGCTCTGCGCGCGGGACTGACGCAGACGGCGGTAGGCACGGAAGATCGCAAGGCCGTGAAGGTTTCGTCGTGACACGTGCGCGACAGTGAAAGAATGCGGACGAGCCCGGAGAGCAGAGGCGGGGAAAGCGGCGGAGGGAGGATGCGCTTTGCGGCTGTGGCGACCGAGACGCGACACGCCGAGCTGTTTCTCGTAGTACGAGCCGCGGCGGATATCGGCGACTGGACAATTACCTTCGCGTCTGTAGTTTTCGTGGTCAGCCTGGAGTCTCTTAACCGCCTCGACCAGCTCGTACCGAGACAGCCCGTCCAGCGCCATGGACCGCGGCCCCAGCGGGTCGGGGGCCGTCTGTAGCTGCAGACGCATGCCGGGCACGTCGCATCGAGGCGTGGGCTCCGCGAAGGTCACGACTTCGACGACGCGCGGGAAAGACGAGGACGGCGCGCTCGTATTGTCAGGTCTAGGCGCGCTGGTGCTGCCTGTATTCTCAATTTCTCCGTCGTCGGTGACGAGCCTATCAGATGATCCGACGAAGTCTTCCGCGGAACCAGCAGCGGTTCCTACGGCGGCGTCAACCACTCCACGCGGGGACTTGAGTTCGCACTCGCTGCTGTTTCTTTCCCCGTCCCCGCGGCTCTCGCTTTGCGTTTGCATGGAGACTAACGTTGCATGGACGACAAAGATGTGTGGGAATGGAACAAACGCTTTGTGCGTCTGGTTATATGAAACTGTCGGTCGAATGGGCAGGATGCAGGGGCTACAACAGGGCTCGTTGGACTTGAGCTAGTATGAGAAACAACGATGTGTTTCGTCCTGACACGTGACGAGGCTTGAACCAGAACCTACATTACCAGGCCAATCATCCTATATTGACTGAAAAAATTATGGTATGTTTGATGACAAATCTGATATAGACAAGGTATACTGGGAGGACGTCTGAAACCCTCAAAGCTGCTTTACTTTCGGTCTGGGGCCTTTCCAGGAAGCTTTGATTGAGAGACCCATAATCAACTCGGCCTCCTGGAATGAAAGTTTTTTCCCCCACCACCTCGCAACTCGGCCTCGTCCTCCGTCATGTGTTTTCTTGCCCCATTCAAACTTGGGGGCCTGGGTTTATCATCTCCACCACCCGGCTTGTAAATTGTTCACTCCTCTCCCCCTCTCCCGCCATTCCATGCGACATGCCATTGCAGTTCCAAACCTTGAGATCTTCGCGAAACTGGTGGTGCTGCTCAAGTTCACGAGCTCTTTTTCGGCTTGTCGGACCCCTTGAAGCATTTTCCGGCTGGACTATCCACATAGCGGGACTTGGGGGTCGACACGTTCTCGCTCAACACAACCCTACCCAGCTGTTTGAAACCATGTAGGACCGCCTCTTAACGCATCGTTCTGTATAGAAATAAATGTTAAAGCTGCGATCTACATAGAGGGACAGGCCCTGGTTTGTCACTTGAAAACAGGGTAGCACTGTCCCATCCAGGGCTGACGAATCAAGGGCAAATGCCCTTAATGCCCTGAACATTAAGGGTTGGATTTGGCCCAGCTTCCGAAGTTTAAGGGTTGGTTTGAGGGCAGCTCTTTCCCGCAAAGTGCTGGTTGTGGGCCTGACCCGGATTTCAAGTGCAGATCCCGTGGCTAGCCCTTATCGTCCCATGCTATTACTTCCCTCCCTCCCATTCGCTCACCAGTCCCCCAACCTCCTCCCAGCCACTCCCCTACTTCATTTTCCCATCCCCGTCAAATCCATCGACATGTTTTTTTTTCCTCAGACTATTGCCTAGCTGGCTCTTAGTAGTTGCCTAGGATACGGACCCGAAGAGATGTAGGTTTTCCTTAGCAAAAGTGCAGAAAAGTTGGTAGCCCTGATTTGAAGTGCCAGGTTGGCTCTCAGCCCGTAAATTTCAGGGCAACTTTTGGGGCACCTCAGCCTCTCAAGTTCTGGCTCCAAACCAATCGACAGCCCTGGTCCCGTCGGAGAAACGAACAATCGATGCGGAAGGAAGGAGGGGGATGGGCGCAGAAATTTCCGCTTGGTTGTTTGTGTTCTGCGCAGAAATCTCCGCCTTTCCGCGGATGTGGGCCCCCCAAAGCGAACTCACTCACGAAATTGACTGCGCTCGTCAGCGGGGTGCGAAGTCCTCGCACAGGTGTTTTGGGAAAGAATACAACACGCTCTTCAATCAACAAACGCGAAAGGGTGTGCACCTAGATTACCCCCAAAAACCCATTTTGGTATGTAGACCGCAGCTTTAACTTGACTCGACCACAGGGTAGCTTGGCCTCAGTCGTCAGGTTCTCGAAGCAGAAGCTGCCTCGCGCTGCCATAACGACAGACAGGCGAACCCTGCAAACGAGAGCATCGGATTCTCCCCCTAGGCTTAAAAGCCCACCAGGTGGAGGATTTGGGAAGGGGATCGTTGTTACGCTGACGGTGTACTGTACTGTACCACCCACGATATGGTAAGCGTGGGACACCCTGGATGGCACACGATTCAGTCGTCAACCTCACTGTTCATCGTCCGAAAATATTCACATTCTCCTACAAGACACCCTGGAAAAATGTATTTCGACGTTTGCTGTGGTGCGACCGAGTGGCTTCCGACCCGACTAAAACAATCACGGCAGAACCAGAGTGGAAAAGCTTCACATTTGATACACTATTTTACTTCAACGGGAACACACTTCACAGAACACAACCCTTTTTTAAAAGGAGATACCGTAGAGAAAACACCAGTACTGAAACACAGTCGGTTATGGTCCTTTCAGAGACTGTTGCTGCTGCCTTCCATGTCGTCTGGTCACAAAGATTGTCCTTGGAAGGACGTGGGCCCAATCGACTTCGATCCGGGCGATCAGAGGCGATCAGTAACTTCGAGGAAAGCAGGAAGCCAATTTCAGGCAATCGGGGGCAATCAGCTGATCGCGATCGGCTGATCTCGCCAGCTCGATCAGCCGCTTCGAACAGCCCGATCAGACCCGATCAGACACAATCAGCCCCGATCACCTGATTGTATGTGATCGGGGCCCTGGGCGTTTTAAGCGAAGTGTAACACGTCTCGCCATGAGGTCTTGAAAATCCTCGCTCATACATACAGACCGGCAAGAACTGTATGCCATAGCCATCATGTGGACCCTGTGCGCAGTGCGATAAGAGCGACATTACCACGATACAACGACCAGGTAATGGGTTTCCGGTTGTCATGCAAGAGCACAGATTATTCGAGGAAAATCATCTCTGATCGGACGGCGCGAGAAAAACGAACCAATCCAGCCCGATCAGATCCGAGCCGAGCAAAGTCGATTGGGCCCACGTCCTACGTCAAATGCACTAACCCCAAAACTCGTGTTTGTTTAAACTACCACCAAAACTCGTGTGTGCAACTTAGGTACAGTATGCGGCAATAGCAGCTCCTGCATCTTACGAAATCGCTGGTCCGCTTATAGAGGTACTGTACTTTCGAATGTTCTCACTCGTACACCTTTTGCCAACACGTCTCCACCGGCCAAGGCATGTGTATTGGGTAACAAACCCACTGTGTCGCCAGTCAGTACAGTAATTCCGTACATGGCTTCTGAAGTTCTGACGTCCTCCCCAGGCTAGCTTGTCAAACAGCGAATCCCATAGGGATCAGAAAGTAGGGGGTGCCTTTCTTGGTTTCTTCCGTGTTCATTTGTACACTGTATGCATAAAACAAGCTTTGGAGATTGATATGAGAAGTCAGGAGATCGGAACTAGCAACTAAATGAATCAACATACATACAATGAAGTACATATATATGTGTGTTTCCTCATGCCTTCCCCCGTATTTTATTTATAATATTTTGCACATATCTTGCAATACTTTCTCACTCACTCAATCGCACTAACAGCCAACCACAACCTCACATGGCGACTTTTGCATATGTTCCAAACACACTTATTTGGCCCCCTTGCTCATTTACGTCCACGATAAACTAGTGTATTCTTTCTGGTTGCTGAATCCCGTGTTCCATTCACGAATTTGCACTAGCAGGGAAAGCTGGGTTTGGTTTGGAATCTCGTGAGCTGAAAGCTTCACAGGTGTTGTAGCCTTCGGGATTGGCTGAGGCAAGGGGAGCACCTTTCTGGTTGGTCGGGGCCGAGTTTGGGACGTGGTTCTGCGTGGAGGGCCTGGGGCTAGTGTGAACTAGCTTCGCCTCGGTGGTGTTTCGCGAATTGTCGTGCGACGCGGAAGCAGTCCGACGTGGCAATGGAACATTCTTCCCGCTCTTCCAGATAAATCTTGATCGCGCTTTTCCCAACCGCCCAATCGGCCTCACATAGGGGAAGAGCAGCTCTAGACGTCCTTGATAGCAATCACAGCTATTCTCGCTGAAATTTAGCTGTCAGATTTAGGCTGACGGTTTGAGCATTTCACTCCGTTGTCAGCCATCTCGTGAGACACTCTTCTCTTGGCTTGCTAGTTCTGCCCTTCTCAGTTAGCCATGGCTCGCACAGCAAGGGCCCTTGGGTTCCTTGTTCTATGCGCCTTAGCGTACTGCGCTTTGGCAGCAGATGATGCGCCGAAGCTGGGCACGGTGATCGGCATCGATCTTGGCACCACGTACTCGTGCGTGGGCGTGTACAAGAACGGCCACGTGGAGATCATCGCCAACGACCAGGGTAACCGTATCACGCCCTCGTGGGTGGCGTTCACGGACTCGGAGCGTCTCATCGGCGAGGCGGCGAAGAACCAGTTCGCGTCCAACCCCGAGCGGACGGTCTTCGATGTCAAGCGACTCATTGGCCGCAAGTGAGCATTCGCCTTCCATGCCCTTCTCTTCGTTCTTCTGATCTTCTTCGTGAATCTCCTGATCGTACTGATTGAAATTACACTTCCCTGCTTTGGCTTTTCTTTTATGTGTTTTCCGACCTGACTAATCTTAATATCTCCGAATTCCGCTGCGCGCAGGTTCGCGGACAAGGAGGTGCAGCGCGACATGAAGCTGGTGCCGTACAAGATCGTGAACCGCGACGGCAAGCCGTACGTGGAGGTGCAGGTGAAGGGCGAGAAGAAGGTGTTTTCGCCCGAGGAGGTGAGCGCCATGGTGCTGGGCAAGATGAAGGACACGGCGGAGGCGTACCTGGGCAAGAAGATCAAGGACGCCGTCGTCACCGTGCCCGCGTACTTCAACGACGCGCAGCGCCAGGCCACCAAGGACGCGGGCGTCATCGCGGGGCTCAACGTGGCGCGTATCATCAACGAGCCCACGGCCGCCGCCATCGCGTACGGCATGGACAAGAAGGGCGGCGAGAAGAACATCCTGGTGTTCGACCTAGGCGGCGGCACGTTCGACGTGAGCATTCTCACGATCGACAATGGCGTGTTCGAGGTGCTGGCGACCAACGGTGACACGCATCTGGGCGGGGAGGACTTCGACCAGCGGATCATGGAGTATTTCATCAAGCTGATCAAGAAGAAGTACAACAAGGACATCAGCAAGGACAACAAGGCGCTCGGCAAGCTGCGCCGCGAGGCGGAGCGCGCCAAGCGCGCGCTGAGCAACCAGCACCAGGTGCGCGTGGAGATCGAGTCGCTCTTCGACGGCACGGATTTCTCGGAGCCGTTGACGCGCGCGCGGTTCGAGGAGCTGAACAACGACCTGTTCCGCAAGACGATGGGGCCCGTAAAGAAGGCGATGGAGGACGCGGGGCTGCAGAAGACGGAGATCCACGAGATCGTCCTCGTTGGCGGCAGCACCAGGTGCGGCGCAGTGAATTGAACCTGATTCGGGTTGGACTAGCCTCTGGCCATCCTGTGTGTGTTTTCGTTCCTTTCGTTGCTTGTATTTTTTCCCGCCGAGCGGGTCACTGAGACGAGTGGGTGTGGTTGCGGTGGTGCAGGATCCCGAAGGTGCAGCAGCTGCTCAAGGACTACTTCGACGGCAAGGAGCCCAGCAAGGGCGTCAACCCCGACGAGGCCGTCGCGTACGGCGCGGCCGTGCAGGGCGGCATCCTCAGCGGCGAGGGCGGCGACGAAACCAAAGGTACGATTTCCTGAGGATTGCTCGTGGTGAATTGAAGGGTTCATAGTCCATTTCATTGTAATAGAACATGAGCCAGAACAACGTCCCGAGAACATGAACTAGTAACAAATTCCAACAAACTTAGTTCAGAAGAAGTGCCCTGCCTTACAACTTCTCTGTGCTTTCCGTTTCCCCCTCGCCGCACCTGCCTGATGCGCCAGACATCCTGCTGCTGGACGTGACGCCGCTGACGTTGGGCATTGAGACGGTGGGCGGCGTGATGACGAAGCTGATCACGCGCAACACCGTCATCCCCACAAAGAAGTCGCAGACGTTCACGACGTATCAGGACCAGCAGACGGTGGTGTCGATCCAGGTGTTCGAGGGCGAGCGCGCCATGACCAAGGACAACCACCTGCTCGGCAAGTTCGACCTCACGGGCATCCCGCCCGCCCCGCGCGGCGTGCCGCAGATCGAAGTGACGTTCGAGCTGGACGCGAACGGCATCCTGAACGTGAAGGCGGAGGACAAGGGGTCGGGCAAGAGCGAGAAGATCACCATCACCAACGACAAGGGCCGCCTCAGCCAGGACGACATCGAGCGCATGGTGCGCGAGGCTGAGGAGTTCGCTGACGAGGACAAGAAGGTGAAGGAGCGTGTGGATGCGCGGAACTCGCTGGAGACGTACGTGTACAACATGAAGAACACGATCAGTGACAAGGAGAAGGTGGGCGGGAAGATCTCGGACGAGGACAAGGAGACGATTGAGGGCGCGGTTAAGGAGGCGCTGGAGTGGTTGGACGACAACCAGAGCGCGGAGAAGGAGGAGTACGAGGACAAGCTCAAGGAGGTGGAGGGCGTGTGCAACCCCATCATGACCAAACTCTACCAGGCGGGCGGTGGGCCCAGTGGTGGCGCTGGGGCGGGTGGCGACGAGGATGAGGAGCCTGAGGACCACGACGAGCTGTGAGGGGCTGTGGATGGTGTTACAGGCAATCCTAGTCCTAGGCCTGAAGCAGGCTGGACGAGTTGGGGACTAGAGGGATTCATGTTGCCTTTTCTACTACTTAGGACCCTTATTCGCGAATACTCAATACTAAGCTGAGCATCGGCTCTCTTTTGAACCTTTCTATAGTACATTTCTTGATTACAATTCACTGATTCTAGAAGCACAGCTTCCCCCATGATGCCATGGCCCTTACAACAGGGTGCGGGTGAATCTGTAGCATGGCAGACCAGGGGCAAACGGTGGTGTGCTGAATGTGAATGCGCCAAGCTTTCTGTCATGATCCAGTTCAGTCTGTGACATGGCTTGCAGCTAGCTTGAGCTAGGACATGCCCACGTTTTATTGAGTGAAGTGGTCGTAGAATCTGCGCCTGTCTCCATTGATCCGTGCTGAGAAGAGGGTGGTAAATACATCATAATACATTACGAAAATGACATTGGTTACAACACTACACAGAAGCACTCTACATTTTCCTGCTATGGGACCACAACTTGTTGACACCTTCTCTGCCCTCTCATCTCCTCTCCTCGCGCCCTCCCACTCCTCCCACCATCCCTCTATCCCCTGCATCACCCTCCAACTGCCTCACATCCCCCCCTTCTCCCCCTTCCCGCATGTCCCGGAGCAGCATGTGGGCGTACACAAGCTGGTTCCACGTGTCGGGCACACCCGGCAGGCACCAGTGCAGGCAGTCCTGGTGGGCGCCATCCAGCAGGTACCCCCACTGGGACGGGTGTGCGTCGGGGCGCAACGACGACAGGTGCGACGTGTTGAGCAGGTGCAGGGAGGGCAGCCCCGCCACCGCCTGCTCTGCTGGCGGGTCGCGCGATGAGTTGAGTAGCAGCACGGCGGACAGGGACAGGGGGTCCTGCAGCGGCACGGGGGAGCAGCGGCGGCGGCGGAGTTGGAGGGAGTGAGAGAAATGAGTGCATGGATCGCGGAAGGAGTGAGAGAAATGAGTGCATGGATTGCGGAAGGAGTGAGAGAAATGAGTGCATGGATCGCGCAAGGAGTGAGAGAAATGAGTGCATGGATCGCGCAAGGAGTGAGAGAAATGAGTGCATGGATCGCGGAAGGAGTGAGAGAAATGAGTGCATGGATCGCGGAAGGAGTGAGAGAAATGAGTGCATGGATCGCGGAAGGTGTGAGAGAAATGAGTGCATGGATCGCGGAAGGAGTGAGAGAAATGAGTGCATGGATCGCGGAAGGAGTGAGAGAAATGAGTGCATGGATCGCGGAAGGAGTGAGAGAAATGAGTGCATGGATCGCGGAAGGAGTGAGAGAAATGAGTGCATGGATCGCGGAAGGAGTGAGAGAAATGAGTGCATGGATCGCGGAAGGTGTGAGAGAAATGAGTGCATGGATCGCGGAAGGAGTGAGAGAAATGAGTGCATGGATCGCGGAAGGAGTGAGAGAAATGAGTGCATGGATCGCAGAAGGAGTGAGAGAAATGAGTGCATGGATCGCGGAAGGAGTGAGAGAAATGAGTGCATGGATCGCGGAAGGAGTGAGAGAAATGAGTGCATGGATCGCGGAAGGTGTGAGAGAAATGAGTGCATGGATCGCGGAAGGAGTGAGAGAAATGAGTGCATGGATCGCGGAAGGTGTGAGAGAAATGAGTGCATGGATCGCGGAAGGTGAGCATGAGGGCAGTGGCGCAGCGAGGAAGCACAGGAGTGCATAAGGGCACCAAGAGCAGGGAGAGCATTGAGGGGAAGGCAGGGATGGCATGAGATGGGGGCAAGGAGGGCAGGGCTTGTGTCGCTCACGCGCTTGTGGTCGCAGTGGCCGCGGGAGTTCCACTCGCCATCAAAGAAGTGCCGCGGCGACGCCGTGCGCAGCAGCAGCAGCGGTGCCCTCCCCGCCCTCTCCGCACCTCTGCTGCCACCACCCCCTTGTGCTGCAGCTGCCCCGCCCTCCCCACCCCCAGGCTCCTCTACGACTCCCTCACCCCCCTGCGCCCCCTGAGCCTGCCCTGACTGCCCTTGGCTGGCGCCACCCCCCATGGGTGCGACGTGGCGGTGCAGCCAGGCCATGGTGGAGCGCAGGGCGATGCGCTGCAGGGCGTGCATGATGCCAGCGCTGCCCTCTATGCGCACCGTGCTGCCCCTCTCACTGCTCTCGCCCTCACTGCTCTCGCCCTCACTGCTCTCGCCCTCGCTGCTCTCGCCCTCACTGCTCTCGCCCTCACTGCTCTCGCCCTCACTGCTCTCGCCCTCACTGCTCTCGCCCTCACTGCTCTCGCCCTCACTGCTCTCGCCCTCACTGCTCTCGCCCTCACTGCTCTCGCCCTCACTGCTGCTGCTGCTGCTGCTGCTGCTGCGGCTGCTGTTCTTGGGTGCGGGGTGGGAGTGTGGCAGCGGAGGGGCGTTGACATGCACGTGGAGGAGCAGGTCAGGGTCGTCGATGTTCACGGGCTGCCCTGCGATGTGCACGTCCCACTTGCTCTCGCGCACCTTGTGCCTGATGTCATGTCATGTGCCACGGCGGGTGAAGGGATTGCAGGGGGGAATGAGCATGGTGAGATGCTGCCGTGGCATGGCATGTGCTCATCAATGAGCAAAGTGTCATTCTCAACTCCATCCCCCGCCTCTCTCACGCCACACCCGCCCACCTGCTCCAGTGGTGAGCACTGTTCATGACGACCACGTCCAGGCGGTGCAGGTGGGCCTGCAGGAAGTCGTCCGGCTGGTCCACGTGCATGGCGGCGCCGCCCTCCAGCATGTCGCTCTCGTTGTAGTACGCTATCTGACAGGGGCAGGGGCATGTGTGCACGGGCAGCGCAGGGGAGTGCACGCATGGGCGAGAGGAGCAGGTTGGGGCGTGCAGTTAGCGTGGCGCACCCAGGCTCCACCCAAGCCCGCCTTGCAAGGCACCACCCCACAGCGCGCAGGCACCCACCTTGCAGAGGCAGGAGGACCAGGAGAAGGCGATGGTGGTGTTGGTGGCGGGGAAGCGCACGGCATAGCCGGTGGGGCGCATGCGCTTGTACTTGCTCTTCACCGGGATGTTCACGAAGCCCCACTCGCCCGCCACGTCCTCCGTGCCCCCTGGCGCCGCAGAGCTGAGCAGGCAGAGCAGCGACTGGAACTGCTGCTGGGCGAGCGAGTCGCCCACAAAGGCGAGGGTGCGGTGGCGCAGGCGGTCAAGGAAGTCAAGCGGGTCAAAGGGCGGCACGTCGCAGTGCGAGGGGCGCCAGAGCAGCGCCTCGTGGTGGAAGGAGGGGCGGTCGGCGGCCCTGCGGCACGCCCACTGCGGGCTGAGCCACGAGCAGTTGGCCCCCGAGTAGAGCGGTGGGCGCGTGGTGGGCACCCATGTGCCCTGTGACAGGTCGCACGCAGGGTGCAGTGCTGGGGGTGGGGGTGGGTGGGGGGGAGAGGAGGGGCGGTGGTGGGATGGGTGGGGGGGAGAGGAGGGGCGGTGGTGGGATGGGGAGATGGGAGGGTGATGGGGGAGAGGCGGAGGTTGGGTTGGGGTACGGCAGAGCTGCCTTTTCATTCCGGTCGCACAAGCCAAGGTGGGGGAGAGGGTGCCACAACACAGAGGCGCAGGGGGCAGAAGGGCAGGGAAGCAGGGGGACCGAGGGGCATGGGGTATGGTGGCACACCTCGTGATGGTGAGGGGTCGGGCGCTGCACGATGCGCAGCGCTGGCTGGCGGAGCTGCTGCAGTCGCCCCCTCCTGCTTCTCACTCGCATCGCCTTCATTCACATCGCATTGAGTCACATTGCCTTGAGTCACATTGCTTTGGGTCACATTGCCATGAGTCACATTGCCTTGAGTCACATTGCCATGAGTCACATTGCCTTGAGTCACAATTGCTAGAGTGAATGGTGGTCGAGTCGAGATTGCTACAGTCACATTGTCTCGGGTGGTGGTGTGTGCTGCTGCCCCCGCTGCACTCTCAGCCTGAATGCTTCTCTTGTCTCTCCTACCCGCCCGCCTCTCCCCTCGCCTCTCCTTGCTCCTCTTTGATTTGCTCTCCTCATCTCCCTTGCTGCCCTCCTCACCTCCTGCCTCCCTGAATTGCATTTTATCTCTCTCACCACTGCTGCTGCCCTGCCTGCTTCCCTCCTCGCCCTCTTCTGGCATAACGCCTTTTTCTGTTTCCAACAACCCCTCGCCGCCACTCACACCCTTTTGTCCACCTACACTCTCTCTCTCCCCCACACCCTCCTTTCCGCCCACACCCTCCTTTCCACCCACACCCTCCTTTCCGCCCACACCCTCCTTTCCGCCCTCACCCTCCTTTCCGCCCTCACCCTCCTTTCCGCCCTCGCCCTCCTTTCCGCCCTCGCCCTCCTTTCCGCCCACACCCTCCTTTCCGCCCACACCCTCCTTTCCGCTCACACCCTCCTTTCCGCCCTCACCCTCCTTTCCGCGCACCACCCCATCCGCCTCCCCTCTTGCGCCAGCGTGCCCTCCCTTATCCCTGCGCCTCGTCCCCTCCGCGTCTACTCTCTCCGCGCCATCCTCGCTGGTCCCACCCTCCTCACCGCCCTCCATCGCACTCGCTACCAGCCGATCGCCCGCCTTCCCATTCTGCGCCTGCAGGTCAGATCTCACTGTGTCGTCTGGGGGCCTGTCGCCTGTGTCGCCGGTGGTCGAAAGCAGGTCGCTCAGCGGCGGCAGCGGCGACCGCGAGAGCAGCAGCGAGCCGCCAGCGAGCAGCGCGGCGAGGAGGGCGACGAGGGCGAGGAACGCGGTGCGAGCGGGAAGGCGGTGTGGCGGCCAGCGGGATTGCGGCAATGGCAGGCGGGCGGGGACGGACGGCGGGGATGGGCGGATCGTAGGCGACGCGTGTGCGCGATTCCACTGCCCGTCTTCCACCTCGCGCGACACGTGGCCTTCGAGGGACAGACGTTCGTCATCTATCGCTGTTCGTAGCGACGCCGTCGAGTCGTCAGCGCGCACTGACGCGGTGGAGTCGAGCGGAGACGATAGGCGGAAAGGCAGCAGCGGCTGGTCGAGAGGCACGACGGCGTGCGTCGTTGGCGACCGCTGCTGGAGACGCCCGCTGCTGGCGGTGGCTCTGAGAGGCGACGCCATGGCGCGTGTGCATTCGCAGCCGCGATCTGTAGTCGCAGCGCGTGTGCACTAGATGTAAATTGCCAGCGGATACTGTGGTCGCTGAGTGCGTGCGAGCGAGGCGAAAGGCTCGCGCGGTCGGAAGGAAAATTTGGCGGCGAGATTCGTTGTACTGTATTGCCGTGAGCTGTGGAGTGGCAGAGTGAATGCACTTGGGTAAGGGGCTGTCCAGCTCGTACATTTACTGTTCGTAACCCCTCAGTTACCACATTTTTCGTGGTAACCCTTTATTTTACGTGTCCAGCAGACACAATCAGCTTTTGTTCACAAGATGGCCCACCCCCTGCACGTACCTAGAGTCGTCTGACTCACGTTACTGGAATCAGCAGGGACGCGAACAAGGGTACAGCACCGCGTCCTGACCACTACAGTTCGTGTCCGTTGTATCGCTTGCACGATTTCGTCAGTGGTTCGCCCTACTCGCCAACGCCCCCTGCGCCTGCACAAAAAATTTCAAGCTATGACTGACGAGGGAAACTGTTACCTCGTTTTCAACGTGGTCAGAGCACTGTTGATTCGTGTGGCGGGGAATGTGTCTGCGCTCCTGAAATTACAGGATAGTTGGACAACCTCTCACAATGCATTCGTTTCTAGGTACGGTGGTCATTTTTGAGCCTCGATACGTGCGTTGGCACGAAAAATCCTGAAATGAACTAACTGAACACGCCCTAAATACGGTTGAGTAGCACGCTGTAAATTGTAAGGTTTCAGCTGTTTTACCGCTTTGAACCGCCCGACAATCGTTATAAACCAGAATCTTGTTTCAGTGGCTGGAGTATGGGCGAGCTGTTTTGCTTTCCTGGGGTGCTGCGGACAGCCATGTCGGCCAATCGACGGCTTAGGTTGAGCCCGCACTGTGTTGTGTGGCCGAACCGCGATCCAGTTGCGATCCAACTCGTTCTGTTCTGACAACTTCAAGATTTGCCTCGTAACTCGCGGTCCTGACCTATGTGGGCATTTTGTACAGTTCATGCTTCGTGGCTCAGAACGGTGGAGAGTGGTCATCGAGGATTACCGTCTTGCGCCGTGACGCAACGAATCCAACCGCGGAGAATGTATAGCAAGACATATGACCCGCCCTCGGCGAACCCCGCGTTAGGCCCGTACAGCTCACCAATATTTCGCGTGATCGTTACATCCTTCGCTCAAATTGTGTCATCTCGATGGTGCAATTCTCGTTTGGTCGCTCAAGCACACACGTAACACAATTTCAAAATTCGCAGGAGGTCCATGGCAATTCTCGCGTCAACGGGTAACTCTAGCCTTTTGTCGTTAGGGTTGCGAATGTGTGCACACTTTCCAGCCATCCACACATCTCTTTCCCCTACTCATCCTGCAGGCCGCTGCCACTACCACTTCCCATCACTAATTCATGGCTCTTTCGGCGCGCCTCCCGTCGACCTCCCTCGCCTCTCGAGCCACGTCGCGCCACCATAGCGCGGCCGAAGTTCTGTCGGCCGCCGCTGCTCTCCGCGCGGCGCACCCCTTCCTCGCCTCCGCCGCTTCGCCGTGCGCCCTCACCCTCACCGCGTCACCCGCGCCGTCAGCCGCGGCGGAGTCCGACGTTGCGCCGTTCTGCCCGCTCTTCTCGTCGCGACGCACCGCCTCATTCGTGCAGCGGGCAGGTTCACGAGCCGGGAGGCACGTGGCGCGCGCCATGGCAGAGGCGGACGCCACAGCTGCCGCCGGGAACGGCGGAGCTGCCGGGGCGGCACCCGTGGCGAGCGACGGTGAGTATTTGCTGCTTGGCAAGGGGCGACGGATGGGTCGGGTGCTGCCTGGGGCAGCGGAGGGTGGCGTACACGTGTCCGCACGCACTGGTCTGGTAGCGCCATCAGCCTCCCTGCTCCATCTGTTTTGTTGCTCCTGTGCCTCCCTGCCCTTACCATGAACTGATTCCGCTTCCATGGGCCCCACTATTTGCACATGCGAGCACGGGAGCAGGGCAGCGAGTGGCGCGCGTGGCGCGGAGGACCAAGGAGACGGACGTGGAGGTGACGATCGCGATCGACGGCGAGGGGCGGTGCTGCTCCGCCACGGGCATCCCGTTCCTCGACCACATGATGGACGTCAGTCAGCCCTGATGCATGATGCTCGTGAGGGGGGGGCCTTGTGGTGCACGAGTGTGAGGGCTTGTGGTGCACGAGTGTGAGGGCTTGTGGTGCACGAGTGTGAGGGCTTGAGTCCCGTGTTGCCACGTGCTCTCGTTGCTGGGCGGGCATTTGACCCGCCACATGTGGGTGGGCGCACCCCATCACATCCATTCCCTTCTTCTACCCCACCTCCCCCTCCGCCTGAGCACCCCACCTCCCCCCCCCCCTCACCCCTTCCCCCCCCTCACGCCCATGCAATGCCACTCGCGCTGCTCGCTCACCACAGTGTCCTGCCCCGTGGCGTGTGTCCCCCCCTGCGCACCCAGCAGCAGCTGGCGTCACACGGGCTGCTGGACGTGAGTGTGAGGGCGGAGGGCGATGTGCACATCGACGACCACCACACCAACGAGGACATCGGCCTCGCCCTCGGCTCCGTCAGTGCCCCTCTGCCCTGCCCTGCCACCCTGCTCCATCACGTGCTGTGCTGTGCTGTGCCGTGCCATTGCCATGCCATGCCATGCACTTGCCATGCCATGCCAAGCATGCCATTGCCATGCCGTGCCCTGTTATGGTATGCCGTGGCATGGCATGGCCTGCCAGCCACTAGGCCGGAGGATCTGTTGAGGATGGATGACTCACCATAAGCTGCTTCGGTGGGTGCCACGGCAGCACCACACCGCCGTTCCGTGCGCACCACCATGGACGTAGCTTGCTCTCCTGTCATTCCCCTCCTCCCGACCTCGTGCTCCGCCCGTTGCTCTCTCCACCTTGGGCAGGCGTTGGCGGCAGCGCTGGGGGACAGGAAGGGCATACGGCGCTTTGGGGACTTCTGTGCGCCACTGGACGAGGCGCTCATCCACGTGGTGCTGGTAGGCGCTCATCCACGTGGTGCTGGTAGGCGCTCATCCACGTGGTGCTGGTAGGCGCTCATCCACGTGGTGCTGGTAGGCGCTCATCCACGTGGTGCTGGTAGGCGCTCATCCACGTGGTGCTGCATGCGAGTGTGTGAGACTTTATCGCACCCTCCCACGACTGCACACCTCCACCCTGAAAAAGCTTGTCGACCGTCTCTTGGTCTCCACATCTGAACCCCTCTCTCTCTCCACATCTGACCCCTCTCTCTCTCCACATCTGACCCCCTCTCTCTCTCCACATCTGACCCCCTCTCTCTCTCCACATCTGACCCCCTCTCTCTCTCCACATCTGACCCCCTCTCTCTCTCCACATCTGACCCCCTCTCTCTCTCCACATCTGACCCCCTCTCTCTCTCCACATCTGACCCCCTCTCTCTCTCCACATCTGACCCCCTCTCTCTCTCCACATCTGACCCCCTCTCTCTCTCCACATCTGACCCCCTCTCTCTCTCCACATCTGACCCCCTCTCTCTCTCCACATCTGACCCCCTCTCTCTCTCCACATCTGACCCCCTCTCTCTCTCCACATCTGACCCCCTCTCTCTCTCCACATCTGACCCCCTCTCTCTCTCCACATCTGACCCCCTCTCTCTCTCCACATCGGACCCCCTCTCTCTCTCCACATCTGACCCCCTCTCTCTCTCCACATCTGACCCCCTCTCTCTCTCCACATCTGACCCCCTCTCTCTCTCTCCACATCTGACCCCCTCTCTCTCTCCACATCTGACCCCCTCTCTCTCTCCACATCTGACCCCCTCTCTCTCTCCACATCTGACCCCCTCTCTCTCTCCACATCTGACCCCCTCTCTCTCTCCACATCTGACCCCCTCTCTCTCTCCACATCTGACCCCCTCTCTCCACATCTGACCCCCTCTCTCCGCCTCTCCAACCCGTCCTCACACCCCGTCATGCCCCACCAACCCCCTTTCCCCACCAGGACCTGTCGGGGCGGCCGCACCTGTCGTTTGACGTCACCATGCCCACAGAGAGGGTCGGCACCTACGACACACAGGTGCCGCCCTCCTCCGCCCTCGCCCTGTACTCCACGCTCTTTCTCCACGTGCCAAGCCTCCCCCTCTGCACGCAGCGCCTGCTTCTGCCCTTGTCTCACACTTCCCCTCCCCCTCTGCCCACCTCCACCTCCATCCCATGTCCATGTCACCACTCCCCTCTTGCATGCCCTGCCCTGCATCCCTTACAATCCTCCTGATTTGGTGCCCCCCCCCTTCCCCCCTTGGCCCCTGGTGGGAGCGAGCAACACCAACACCAGCTGGTGGAGCATTTCTTCCAGTCGCTCGTCAACACCAGTGGCATGACGCTGCACATCCGCCAGGTGACGCCCTTCCGCTGCCCACTCAGGTGCTTCGTTTCACGTGTCCATTCAGGTGCTTCGTTTCACGTGTCCATTCAGGTGCTTCGTTTCACCTGCCCTTTCAGGTGCTCCTTTCAGGTGACGCCCTTTAGGGTGACCGCACGTAGGCGCCCATGCATGTGAATGTACCATGACGCATGTGCCATGTGGTGTGATGAACATGCCCTCCCTGCACCATTCATGTCATGCTGCTCTCTGCGCTCTGCCCTCTTGTTCAACCCTGCTGTGCCGTCCGCCTCATATTCTCCCGCAAGTTATCTCCTCTGCAACACCCCCCCTCCCCACCCTGCTCCTCCCCCTCCCCCCTGTCTCCTCTGTGCAGCTAGCGGGCAGCAACACGCACCACATCATAGAGGCCACCTTCAAGGCCTTCGCCAGGGCGCTGCGACAGGCCACGGAGATCGACCCCCGCCGCGCTCACACCGTGCCCAGGTGAATGCCCCGCTCTGCTCAGGTGAATCATTAGTTGTGCCCATGTGCATTCCCACTGATAAGTTAAAGCCCTCGTTTCACTCAGGTAAATAATGAGCTGTGAGTCTTTCCTGTGAGAAAACCGGTTCTTTTTGCTTGCAGTGTTTGCCTGTCCACTTTAGTTTGCATGGACAACAGCAGCACCTCAGGCATGGTACCATGCCTCTGTTGCGACGCCCCTTCACTCACATGCTGCTTCGCCTCCACCCTCCATCTCTGCCACCCCTTGCCTCGTTAGTTCCAAGGGAGTGCTCTCACGCACGTGAGGCGTCTATCCAGGCAACGCAAGAAACCATGTTGCTGGCGTGTTCATGTCAATGCGTAATGTTGCGCTTATTGCTAGTGCACAGCATCTGCCATGGGATGGGAGTGCACATTTGTCAGATATTCTCCCCTTTATTTACCCTACGCAGAAACTTGTGCTTGACCTGTATATGACAGGAAACGCAGAACACGTTTGCAGATTTATGTCCGTCCTTCCATAAATCCTACATGTGAGCCCTTACAACAGCAATGATTGCATTATTTTCTAGAGCACCCTACGAGAACTAGGTTTTCCATGTACAGCCATTTGATACTAGGACTTCTCAACGGCGCGTACAGGCGATATTCCAGAGCATGCCAGTTTCCCGCTCAGCCAGCGAAGATCTGCGTGGGACCACGTCACGGTCGCCTTCCCTCGCATTGCCCCGCGCTGCCCTTCCACATCTGCTGGACGCGCTCCCACCCAGCCCGATCAGCCAGTCTGTCTCCTCTGCAGCGCTAGAGGACGCAGCTCACTTGAACCCATCATTAGAGTTGATGCAATCATCCTCTGCTTCAGTTCCTTCCAAGACTAGTCCCCACCTCATTTCTCTCGCCTCGCCATCGCTTCTTCACTTCACCTCTCACCTGCCTCGCCGCTCGCCGCATCGCGCCATGACGTCCTCCAGACTCGCCGCCGGCAGCTTGCGGATGGACGTGTTTGTTCGCGGCTCGCATGGCGCTCGCCTGCCGCTGCTTCCGCGGGGAGGGCAACGGCGCTGCGCAGGTGATCCGCGTGTGCCGTCAAGCGGGCTCCTCTCCCGGCTCCCGCTCCTTCACTCCGCCGGGCGTTCGGGTCTATCCGCACCCAAAGCGCGGGAGTCGATAAGGTGCGTTGCTTGCTCTCGATGGTTGCTCGCTTGTTGCCTGTTCTCACTGCCAAGTGCCACTCCCACCCGTCGTCTCCCCCACGCGCGGGCCACATTGGCGGCCTCGTCGCCGCCATCGCCTTGTTTCCATCCTCGCCTCCTCCCCGTCCGTCCGCCCTCGCTCCCCCTTGTCACCTCCCTGTGCCGGACCGCGTGCTGCCGTCGCTAAGCCCTGAACCTCCCACCGCCCGCGCTCCCCTCCCCGCAGCTGCCGCGCCTCCTTCAACGGCTTCGGCCGGCGATCCTCGCGCGCGCGGGATGACCGCAGTCACGCGCAAGCGCGCGCAGAGGGGGGCATGTGGCAGGGGGAGGAGGGAGAGGAGCGGGGCAAGCGGGATGCGGGCAGATCAGCATCAGGGGGAGCGGGTCCGGCGTGGATGGGGATGGGCGCGGGGGAAGGGGGCGCGCGGGCGGGCGTGGGTGACGCACAGCGGCTGCTGATTGGCGGCGCCATGCTGGCGGCGGTGACGTGGCTCAAGTTCGCGACGGAGGGCCATCTGGGGTGGCTGGGCGACGGCGCGCTCGAGGGCGTCGCGCAGCTCTGGGTGCGTCGCGCCGCGCGCCGGACGTAGCGGCGCTGCAGCGTTGGGCTCTCATTGTCTCGTGTGTCCCGTGTCTCGTGTGTCCCGTGTCTCGCATCAATTGCATGCGTATCTTCCGTCTGCGTCGCAGCCGGTCGCTTTCTTGTTTCGCCCCTCATCCGCCCCTCCGCTGCAACCTCACTCCCGCCGCCTCCCTCCGCCTCCCTCCGCCTTCCTTCTCCTCCCTCTCAGAACCGTCGTTGTCCCTCCCCCATACCCCCTCAGCACCACCCCCCCGCCTCCCCGTTCCCCCTTGTGCGTGTGCGGGGCGGCAGTTCGTGTTCTATCTGTTGGACGTGGCGCTCACCACGGCCACATGGATCGTCGGCAAGCTCACCTCCTCGCTCGCCGTTGCCAATGTACCCCCCCTCGCCTCCCCTTCCCCCCTCGCCTCCCCTTCCCCCCTCGCCTCCCCTTCCCCGCTCGCCTCCCCTTCCCCCCTCGCCTCCCCTTCCCCCCTCGCCTCCCCTTCCCCCTCTTGCCTCCCCTTCCCCCAATCGCCTCCCCTTCCCCCAATAGCCTCCCCTTCCCCCAATCGCCTCCCCTTCCCCCCTCGCCTCCCCTTCCCCTCCCTCTTCTCCTTCTCCTCCCGCTTCCCCTTCCCCCCCGTTTCCCCTTCCCCCCCGTTTCCCCTTCCCCCCCGTTTCCCCTTCCCCGCCGTTTTCGCTTCCCCTCCCGCTTCCCGCTTCGTTCGTTGGGAGCTTCGTTGTCTTTCAAGTCTTTGCAAGCGTGCCACGCCATAATAATGCCTCGGATATCTCACAAACAAAGCTCTTCGTTTTCAAACGTTTTGGTCGAAACTCGCGTGCGATTTCGCGACCTCTCAGCGTCTCCCACCCCATTGCGCTGTGCGCTGTGCGGTGCCCCCCCACCCGTGTGCGCAGTGCCCGTGGTGCGACCACCAGTTCACGTTCGACAGGTGAGCCCAGGGAGCCCAGGGGGCACGCCCCACGCCCTCACTGCTGCGAGCGGGCTGAAGGGGCTCAGCGCAATGGGAAGTGGTGAGGGAGAGCGCTACATAGGAGCACGGCAGCCTGCACACTGACAAGCCGACTCGTCACATGGCCTTTTGTGTCCGCCGCTCATCCTTCACAGGTCACTGCGTGCGCCCATCTCTTCCGCCAGATTCCCATCTCCCGCCACGCTGGTTTGAACCAGCGCCCCTCACTCGCCTCCGCACTGTTCATGTGTGTGTGTGTGATTGTGTGTGTGTGCATGTGTGTGTGTGTGTGTGTGTGTGTGCATGTGTGTGTGTGTGTGTGTGTGTGTGTGTGTGTGTGTGTGTGTGTGTGTGCGAGCGGCACGGCATCACTTGCCCCGCCAACATGAGCAGGAATGCGGTGGTGCATGGAGCTCCAGTGTGCCCCTCCTGCCTGCGCTCCATGAAGTGTCAGTTCCCCTCTCCCTCTCTCTCCGCTTCCCTGCTTCTCATGCGATTTTGACTGCTCACCCACCACTTCTTGGCTTTAACCACCTATGCTTGCTCCGCAGCACTTGTGTGCTTTCTCCTCCATCTTTGCCTCTACTTTCCGTGTGCTAACACACCCTGTCTGTTGCTCCCAGATGAAGATGGTCAATTTCAGCAAGCACACGGCAGCAGCCGTGGATTTGCTGCACAATCTGGTAAGGCTGGCAAGTTGCACTGTGCATTCCTGTTGTCACCTCATGAGATGTGTCTTGTTCACTCCACATGCCATGGCATAGTTGCTGATGTACCGTTATGGTTGTGTGTGCCATGCCATGCAACAGGGTCACAATCTCAAGACAAGCATGGATGGAGGGCTACAGGGACTGACAGAGTGGTGGACGTGGAGGCCACAATAGTTGACAAAGATTAGGCTAGGATCAATACAAAATATTACTGATAGCATGTATAAAGTGTAGGAAAATGAAGGTGTTGTTACAATATGTATGTGTCTATGTACTCTCAAGCATCATGCTGGATACGACACAGTTATGGTGTCAATGTACGGTAATAAGGGCATTGTTCAGGCTACCTCATATCATATTTGCCTGGAAAAACCAGAGAAGGATTTCGGTTCAGAGGAATTTTCAGTATGAGCTTGGTATGAGGTTCTCTTGCTACGAGGCGTGGGAACACGCTCTAACTGGTGTCAATCTTGCCCTTTCAAGTAATCAATGAAATTTACATGACAGGGCACAGGCAACCAAAGCAACTGGGCAGTGGTTCATGAGCAGCTGAGCAGCTTCACTAGAGGCAACACAGCAGCCCTACAGCGCCACAAGGAGCATCTGCCCCTAGGCGTGGGCATGCGAGCAGCAGCGCTCTACTTGGACTTGAGGTACTCGTTGAGCACGTTCAGTGCCTCCGTCTCCTCTCCATAGTCCTGCCACGCCAACCACACACAAGCACACACAACCACGAATGTTATTTCAGATCCTGTTGCATGCTCAAGCTCTGGACACTTAGAAGTCAACCCCCACTTGCCCCATAATGAGGTACAACAGAACCAAACGGCCGTATGTGCAACATGTAAAATCCACATGCAAACACTGCCCACAACCACCAACCAGCATTCTTCCACGCGCACCACCCATGCAAGTCCCTAAGCGCAGCACAAACCCCCATGCGCACCACAAACCCCCATGCGCAGTAACAAACCCCCATGCGCACCACAAACCCCCATGCGCAGTAACAAACCCCCATGCGCAGTAAGAAACCCCCATGCGCAGCACAAACCCCCATGCGCAGTAACAAACCCCCATGCGCACCACAAACCCCCATGCGCAGTAACAAACCCCCATGCGCAGTAACAAACCCCAATGCGCACCACAAACCCCCATGCGCAGTAAGAAACCCCCATGCGCAGTAAGAAACCCCCATGCGCAGCACAAACCCCCATGTGCAGTGACAAACCGTGCACTTCGCCAAACCCCATGCACTTAAAAAAATCCCAAGCCCAGCAGCCCTAACCCTCTCCCCCGCTGACCTTGACGACGACGCAGGCGCAGCCGACGACCTTGCGCGCCTTGCCCTCCGAGTCCAGCTTGCACAGCCCCGCCCACTCGCCCAGCGTCTTGGCGCTCGGCACCTGCCACGCACCCAAGCACACGCACCACCGCACAACTCAGCACCCCGCGTCGCGAGACCGCTTTCCACGGCCGGGCCATGCTGGAGCAGAGGGGCCACTGCATCGGCGCAGTCGGCACAGTCCAAATCATGCAGCGGCAGCAGTCAGCCCGCACCTGCTAGCCCGTCACCAGTGCGGTGCCCCTAAGCTAGCGTGCACGCAGATTCGAAGAACGGACTGACAGCCTGCTGACCGGCTGCTGACTGTGTGCTGACTCTGCTGACCGTGTTCTGGCTGTCTGCTGACTAGCTGCTGACCGTGTTCTGGCTGTCTGCTGACTAGCTGCTGACCGTGTTCTGACTGTTTGCTGACTACATGGTAACCGTCTGCTGCCGCAGAACCCCCTTGCTAATGAATAAGAAAGCTTCGCTGGAACGAGCAGTCCGTGGCCGGGGTGCCTACACCCAGCCGCTACCTTGCCTCTTCACGTCGCCCCCTTGACCTTTCGCCAAAGCCCGCCGATAGCTAACCATCTGACACCGCACGGCGGGGAAAGCCCACTCCCGTGACTGCGGCTGCCGCAGCAGCGGCGCAAACATGGATGCTGCAGGTGGTGCACGGGGAACGCACCTGTATAAGGTGTATGCGCGCACCTGCACGGGGACCTACCTGCATGAGGTTGATGTTGTGTTCGTGGCAGGTCGCACCTGGATGAGGTTGATGTTGTGCTCGCGGCAGGTCGCACCTGGATGAGGTTGATGATGTGCTCGTGGCAGGTCGCACCTGGATGAGGTTGATGTTGTGCTCGTGGCAGAGTGCCTGGACGAGCTTCTTGTAGTCCTCCTGGTCGCAGTCCTGCGCCAGCACGCACAGCTGCGCGCTGCTCTTCTCCAGCGCCTTCGCCGACTCGTGCAGCCCGCGCGCCAGCCCGTCGTGCGCCAGCGCCTTCTTGAGCACGCGCTGCAGCGCCGTCATCGTGTCCATCGCCTCGGCGGGCGCCTCCACCTCCACGGCGGCGACCTCCGCCTCAATCGCCACGGGCTCATCTCTGCGCCGCGCCGCGGAGGGGGAGGGGGGGGCGACGGAGGGAGAAGCTGGTTAAGGGGTTGGAGAGATATGATAGCAGAGAGCGGTGAGGAGACAGGTACGCGCACACACGAGTGAAAGGGGCGAATAGCAGAGATAAGAGTAAGCGAAAGGAAGCGTACCCGTCCGACATTGTCCTCGGCAGATGTTAAACGACTGCCTCCCTGCAAGCAGGCGCGCGAAGGGGTCAAACAGAGAACAACACAGACGTTGAGGGCAAGCAAAAGATGGAAGAACAGGATCAAGTTCATTCAGGAAAGCAATCGCAACAGGGAAAAACAGACGAAGACTGAACGAGCTCAAACGACGGATGCGGAGTGTCACGCCGGAGGGCACTTACTCTGTCAATGACGTCCTCGAGTCCTCACCTGCCACATCCATGCAACACAATAGGAAGCGGGGCGACAACAGCGAGAAGAAAGCAGTAAATAAGACAATTCTGCTCCAGAAAAATCCGAGGCAAGAGAAGACATGCAAAAAGAGAAAGATACAACAGGAACCATATGGCGGTCGACACTTGCACCCAGCATTTCCATACTGCGCAATACTGATGCATTTGATCTCGGAAAAGGGTACAAGGAGACTAACCCGTGCGAAGATTTGAGCCTTGAGAGTAAGTTCAGGTGAGCAAAAGGAGGAGAGTAGAGTCTCGAAGATCTCATATTCAACCACCAGATCAAGGGCGACGTATACGCAGGTTGGGCGACCACTTGCTGGGAGCTTCAACGAAGCCCAAAATGTCTATTCCAGAATCCACTAGTAAGAACTACAATTACAACCACATGAAACATTTGATGAAAATAAAGAGATCATTCCATATACTTCATTTGTGTAATGTATATATCGATTCATTACTGTAGAGGCTGCTCCTAGCGAGGACAGCCCCGGACACTGAGCGACAGTTTCCTGTCCGGCCTACATTTTGGCCCGAACCACTTGTTGGGCTGAGGTGCCATAGGATCTTTATAGAGTTAAAGTCTGTGTAGGATGATGTAATAGCGGAAGCGTTGAATAAAGAGTGTTTGAACCACCTTGCGCTAGTATGTGAGGGCAAAGTAAAGTTGATTAAAACAAGCAAATACAAAGGTTTTTATATAAGAGTACAAGGAATACGAATAGATATAAACTGTTTTACTGTTGCGGTTCGATACAGTGCGACTCGGGCAACTGCTCAATGTCGAGTCAGTTGTTTGTCCTTGCTGTCGCGCTGCATTTGTTAAGTCAAAGGTCGCTGACCTTTGACTTTCTCGTAACCTCCGGCGGTTACCCTAACCTCCGAGGGTTGACTCGTTATGCTTCGATTTGAGCTGCTTCGCTTGTGTCCTGAGTTTCGACACGACAGAGGCGCTTAAGACTTGTTGTTCCCAACACTCCCCTTCGCTTCTGGAGTGTCGCAGATGGTGACGTAGCTTTGTCCAGTCAGCAGCATGCACTACTCGAACTTCTGTTTTCCGAGCTTCTTGGTCAAGTAGTCGGCTGCCATCTCGGATGTGGGACAGTAGGATAGTTCGAGTTTCCCTTTCTCGATCTCGTCTTTCACGAAGAAGTATCGCAGAGCGATATGCTTCGTTCTGTTCGCGAATCCGCTTTTGTTGGCGATGCGAATTGCAGATTGGTTGTCGCAGAACAGGGTGAAGTTGGGTAACTCGGCTAACTTTGCTTCTTCCAGCAGCTCGCGAAGGTAGAGTCCTTCCTTGGTGGCTGAGCAGAGGGCGATATATTCTGTTTCAGCTGAAGAGAGAGCGATTAGTTCCTGCTTGCTCGACTGCCAGGAGATGGGTCCGATAGGCTCGAGACGATAGATGTAGCCAGTGCGGGAGCGCCTGTTATAGGAATCGCCGGCATGATCGGCATCGACGTAGCCGATTAGTTTCGTTGATGTAGCTTCGCTCTTGTAGTAAGTCAGGCCGATCGTCGGAGTGCTCACGAAGTAGTGCAGTGCGCGGTCGAGCTCCGCCAGGTGCTCTGCTTCGGGTTTCTTGAGGTAGGTAGCGAGTTGGCTTGCGGAGTAGGACAGATCTGGGCGGCAGGTGACGGCTGCGAAGAGGAGGCAGCCCAGCTTCCTCTGGTAGTCGCGTATTCCGGCAGTTTTGAGTGGAGCGGAATTTCCTTTGTCATTTCCTGCCGTGTAGCGGTATGGCGTGGCGATAGTGGTAGGTGTGAGCGAGAAGCGTTTGGCGATGGTGTCGGCATATTTCTCGGCGCTGAGGTAGATAGCATTCTCTTCTTCGCGGATGTTGAGTCCGAGATACTGAGTGACGGTAGAAGAACCCGTGAGTGTGAGGTCCTTCTGCAGCTCCCCTTCGAACCAGGTGGTGATGTCGTCGGTGGAGCCGATGTAGAGTAGGTCGTCGACGTAGACGATCAGTAGGATATAATCTGCGTCTTTAGGGAATCGATACATCCCTTGGTCGTGAGGCAG